CAACTGATCCATCAGTCAGAGTAAAGTCTGTCTCTAAACAACAGATCCATCAGTCATAGAGTAAAGTCTGTCCCTAAACAACAGATCCATTAGTCAGAGTAAAGTCTGTCCCTAAACAACAGAGATAACAGTCACAGAGTCTGTCTCTAAACTAGAAACATCAGTCAGTCTGTCCCAAAACAATAAATGTTAAGTCAGATAACAGGAACATTAATCTTAGGAAGATACTCCAAAGTAGTGGTTCCCAACCTACTGGTCACGACCTTTTAATACAGTACCCTCATATTGTGGCGATCCCCAAACAAATATATTCCTTTATAAAGTCAACGAATGTGTTTTTCCGATTGTCTGAGGCAGCCCTTATGAAAGTTTAGTTTGACCCAAAAAAGTGTTGTGGCTGGCAGGTTTGAGAACCGCTGCTCTAAAGCAACTCTGGCCTGCAGAGGTCTAGCAAGTGGCCCGCGGATCATCATCAGATATACTGCACTAATGATCTTTCTGTGGAATAGGGGCTCCGGCCTAAAGTGGTCCCCAATTGTCAAAATACTGGCCCTTGCATAAACTCAGCTGAACAACCTGATCAAAGGGACAAAATCGTAAACACCAAAATGCAAAAAGGTTGTATTTATCTAACACTTGGGTGTAGGCTCGGAACTGTGGCTTGCTTTTCAAAATGATCACTTAAATTCCCACAAACAGCCAGATGTCTTGATCCACAAACATAGTTCTGGGGTTGACCACACCTCAGAACAGGACAAAACATTATGAGAGGACACCGACTGCATCACCTTGACTTAGCTCATGTAATGGTTCATTTAACATCTCAACTTGTCTGCCATAGGATTAAAGTGACAGTACTGACAACTGTAATCTGTTACTACATCTGCCACTCAAAAACCACACATATCCGTTAATCGGGGGCTGCATAGTCTCAACGCATGGTTTCCACCTCGAGTGCTGGAGGTCCCGGGTTCAAGCCTGGGATTATTTCATGTGGATTTCTTTAGTAACTTCCCTGATCTCTAGGTAGTAAGCTCCCCATTGTGGGGAAAACAAGAATAGACCCACTGCCTCCCCAAAAGCATGTCGTAAGAGTCGACTAATTGGGGAGCTTTCTGTGAAGTCGGAGTGCATCTGCCGAAGAGGCAAGGAACCAATAGTCTGTTTTCAAGAGAATGAGACCTGTAAAACTGATGCATATGCAACACTCAGCTTCTGGAGCAGGACTGCAGTTCAGTAGTGGACGAGCAACCAGAACCTTCCGCTAGAGTGTACAGCTGGTGAACGCGAAGAAGATCCCTGTAAAGGCAATCAAGAAAACAAATAGGACAACACTGATGTAATCAACACTAAGAACTGCTTTTAAAGACAAAAGATAAAGCTGCAAGCAATGAAGAGAATTTGACAGAAAGACAAGGCAAACTTCCCACAAATGAGATGCATATCTTGTACAGGACATCGCAGAACCAACCCCAGTATTTTTTTTGGTTGTCATGATTTTTCTAGGCGAGTTTTATGTTCAGTAGTTTGCCTTTGCCTTCTGAACGGTCAGCTCTTGATACCACTGAAAAAACCGACGCAAGATAGTCTGCTGCCAAACTGATTGCAGTTGGGATCTAAACCAGCACCCCGGCATTACGAAACACATTCGCCACGGCTAAGCCAGAAACGCTGGCGAAGTTCCCACAGAAAATCTGAAACTGGTATTTTATACTTGACTGAAACAAGTCAAAGAATGGCTATGTGGGGCCGTCTACTGTGTGTCAGTCAACCAGGAACTTATAACTTTTAATGTTAAAATAAAGGTTTGAACAATTAAAGGACGAAAAAAGAATTTTTGAGAACAACAATGCCGAATGAGGTTTATTAAACCAATGTGATGCCAATATGCAGAATCAGGCTTGGAAACTGAAGATTATGTCTAGGACAGCCTTCAAGAAGAGAGACAGCACAGCACTGGTGCTCTACAACGGAAGGACTCCAGCACTGGTGCCAACAGAAGGACTCCAGCACTGTTGCCAACAACAGAAGGACTCCAGCACTGTTGCCAACAAAAGAAGGACTCCAGCACTGTTGCCAACAACAGAAGGACTCCAGCACTGTTGCCAACAACAGAAGGACCCCAGAACTGTTTCCATACAACGGAAGAACCCCAGAACTGTTGCCTTACAATAGAAGGACTCCAGCACTATTGCTGACAATAGAAGGACTCCAGCACTGTTGCTGACAATAGAAGGACTCCAGCACTGGTGCCAACAGAAGGACTCCAGCACTGTTGCCAACAACAGAAGGACTCCAGCACTGTTGCCAACAACAGAAGGACCCCAGAACTGTTGCCAACAACAGAAGGACCCCAGAACTGTTTCCATACAACGGAAGAACCCCAGAACTGTTGCCTTACAATAGAAGGACTCCAGCACTGTTGCTGACAATAGAAGGACTCCAGCACTGTTGCTGACAATAGAAGGACTCCAGCACTGTTGCTGACAACAAAAGGACTCCAGCACTGGTGCCAACAGAAGGACTCCAGCACTGTTGCCAACAACAGAAGGACTCCAGCACTGTTGCCAACAACAGAAGGACCCCAGAACTGTTTCCATACAACGGAAGAACCCCAGAACTGTTGCCTTACAATAGAAGGACTCCAGCACTGTTGCTGACAATAGAAGGACTCCAGCACTGTTGCCAACAACGGAAGAACCCCAGAAACTGTTGCGGACAATAAAAGACTCCAGCACTGTTGCCGACAATAGGACTCCAGCACTGTTACCAACAACAGAAGGACTGCAGCACTGTTGCCATACAAGAGAAGGACTCCAGAACTGTTGCCATACAAGAGGACTCCAGAACTGTTGCCATACAACAGAAGGACTCCAGAACTGTTGCCATACAACAGAAAGGACTCCAAAACTGTTGCCATACAAACAGAAGGACCCCAGAAACTGTTGCCATACAACAGGGGGAAGGACTCCAGAACTGTTGCCATACAACAGAAGGACTCCAGCACTGTTGCCATACAACAGAAGGACTCCAGAACTGTTGCCATACAACAAAAGGACCCAGAACGGTTGCCATACAACGGGGGAAGGACTCCAGCACTGTTGCCATACAACAGAAGGACTCCAGCACTGTTGCCATACAACAGAAGGACTCCAGCACTGTTGCCATACAACAGAAGGACTCCAGCACTGTTGCCATACAACAGAAGGACTCCAGAACTGGTGCCATACAACAAAAGGACCCAGAACGGTTGCCATACAACGGGGGAAGGACTCCAGCACTGTTGCTATACAACAGAAGGACTCCAGCACTGTTGCCATACAACAGAAGGACTCCAGCACTGTTGCCATACAACAGAAGGACTCCAGAACTGTTGCCATACAACAGAAGGACTCCAGAACTGTTGCCATACAACAGAAGGACCCAGAACGGTTGCCATACAACAGGGGGAAGGACTCCAGCACTGTTGCCTTATAACGGAAGGACTTCAGCACCTCACACATCACAACTCTGGTCTAGAAATATCTGGGCAGTAACTGTAAAGGAAGGGCAATTAGGACATTGCAATTTTAACTTCATAGCAAACAGACCACCCTACAGTTGCTCCACTCTTGTGTCAACAAATCCACTGTTCCTTGTAATCCACTGATAAAGATTGCAGTCTTGGCAAAGCCAACAACACACGCAACACAGGGCAGTCATCAGAGGTGCCAATACAAGCAGTCCAGCACTAGAAATGCAGTTTATGGTTGGTTCAAGCAGCAGTTACAACAAACTGGAAGCTGCACACACAATTAAAGGCATATGGCACCACTAGGTCTGTGGCAACAGGCCGCTCACCATTTTCCAAATCTGTACATAATTAAAAACACAGAGCACAGCTGAAAAGTATTCCAAATAAAATCCGCACCTCAGTGTCAGGCTTCAAACGCAACCCAGTAGATGGGCAAAGGAATTACCATATGTGAGTCCACATATGAGGGGAATGCACAGCCAGAGGCAAATCATTTGCCACGACTAAACAGTAAATCCACAGTGTAGGACTGGAAGTCACAAAGGACCTCACATTCGTAGTCAAGTTCAGTAATCAGACGTCAGTCATAGGCCACGTTAAAGACAAAATATTTACAAATCCCAACGCAGCATCCAGGGTAACTAATCGAGGAAAGAATAATAAAATCCAGCAAAGCACCAAAGTGACACCCTTGCAAGATTCCAAGTAAAGTTGCATGTAAATAACTAACACTTGTAAACTTTTGTTTAAAAAAAAAAAAAAACTTGGTAGCTTTCAAACCCACCCCCCCCCCTTCCTTTAAAAAGTTGTTAGGAATTTGGACACCCCCTACCCAGTTATATCCAATTTTCTAAATTCAATTAAGTCTACATATAAAAGTAAGGCCCATTAAAATTACTGGATGTGCCGAGACCAGGCACAAAGCCTCCAACTGAATTTGCTCACAACATAAAGACTGAAATCCTGGCCAGATGCAGTTCCTATTCGCCGTCCTTTTTAGGATGACATTTTTCGTTATTTGAAACATAAATAGCCCCACCCTGGCCCTTGCCAGGGGCTGCAATATAGCCTGACCATAAATATGGCCTAATGGCTGAACGCGGTTTCTGGAACCTCATCCACATGGTGGCACATTGTGTCATCGGGTGTTTATCACTTGTATGATGTCCTGGTAGGGTAGAAAGTCAGTCAGTCAGATGCAGCTAAACAGAAAAGCATATATACATCCGCATCTGATATTATTTAATGCAAGATTCATTTCTCACAGAATGTGAGTTGGGAGGGGAAAAAAAGAGGACACGGACAAAGTGCAAAATACAACTCTACCAAGACACAACAAATGTTGTAGAGCGGCACTGCTGTCCAAAAGAGAAAGCCCGGTTGTGTTCCAGCTGCTATTTACTTCGTGCACCAGATGGTCGAGTCTGTTTCAGGGTCAGGTCACAAGTCAAGAGAAGACACGAGTGTTAGGTCAATAAGATGTCGGTTATGCTAAAGCTTCACTCAATGCCTGTCGCTGCTGCTCGGTCAACTGGGCCACACACACTTGAAATGCATCCGGATTTGACTGAAAAAAAAAAAAAAAACTGCGTTAATCTAAAGGTTTGCCGGTCTGGACAAATTCAGCAAAGATAAATTGTTTCAACAGTTTTTATTAAGTAGAAATGGCAGGTGATCTTCTTATCTCCCTTTCTAGACTGTACTATAAGTATTGCCCTTGTGGGGAAAGGGGAGGCCCTGAATATAGCCAGGCCATAGATATGGCTTAACGGCTAAAAGGGGTTTCTGGTACCTCTCCATGGGTGATCCTCATCTGCATGGTGGCACTTTGTGTCACCGGGTATTTGTCGCTTGTGTGATGTCCTCCTGGTGGGGTAAACTACCTGCCTACCTAGCTTTCTAGACTGCTGTAACACATCCAACGCTGATATTACAGGTCTCAGTGTCAACACATGAAATGTTAATAATATATATAAAAACACCACTTCTAAATGTGATGATACCATTTCTAAAGATGATACTACATCTAAGGGTGATACCATACTAAATGTGATGTTGGACCTAACAGTGAGGCCACATACAACAGTGACATCCGAAACAACAGTGACATGATACCACATCTTACAGTGACATCACAAACACCTAAAAGTCACAAGCAGTGACACCATACTTAATGGTGATGTCACAAACAGTGATGCCTCACATCTAATGGTGACATCACAAACAACATCTTACAGCAGCAACACACCAGACAGACAAGAGGACACCACACACAAGTCTGAGGCAAAATACATCACTGACAAGACAAAAAACAGTGACATAACAGCCACAGCACAAATAATAGGGACGCCATCACAGAGGCCCACACATAACAGTGACGCCATCACACATAACAGTGACACATTCACACAGGCCCACACACAATAGGGACGCCATCACAGAGGCCCACACATAACAGTGACGCCATCACGCATAACAGTGACACCATCACACAGGCCCACACAAAACAGTGATGCCATCACACATAACAGTGACGCTATGACACATAACAGTGACGCCATCACATAGGCCCACACATAACAGTGACGCTATCACACATAACAATGACACATTCACACAGGCCTACACACAATAGGGACACCCTCACAGAGGCCCACACATAACAGTGACACCATCACATATAACAGTGACGCAATCACACAGGCCCACACATAACAGTGATGCCATCACACAGGCCCACACATAACAGTGATGCCATCACACAGGCCCGCACATAACAGTGATGCCATCACACATAACAGTGACAGGCCCACACCTGAACTTGTTTGACAATGTTAACCAGGCGCCGGTAGAGCTCCGTGTCCTCCTGGATCAGCTCTCGATGCAGCGTCTCCCCGACGATGCTGATCACCTTGGGCAGATTGGACGCATGTTCTCCCATTATGCCAGGATGGTTTCTGAAATATAAAATTGAGTTCTGGAAGTTCTATCTGGCACATTCACTCCCCTCTCCTCCTCACCGTGTGGGTTCCAAGGCCCCATTGTGGGGAAAACAAGAACAGGTCTACTGCCTCGCCAACAAGCATATCCTAAGAGTTGATTAATTGGGGGTTTCCTTCGAAGTCAGAATGCACCTGCCTGAGAGGCAAGGAACCAACAGTCTGCATACAAATAAGTCAGACCTGTATAACTGATGTGCATGCAACAGGTTCTGGAAAAAGCCTAAAGTCCGGAAGTGGACGAATGACTAGAACTTTCCGTCTGCTTACAGCCGCTGAATACAAAGAAGAGCCCTCTTCTAAACTTTTTTTACTCACAAGACACACTCAGACAAACTTGCTTGTGGACTCCATGTTTGCCAGGGTAGCAGTCACTAGGTGCCTGGCCTGACCTAAGGTCTGACAGTCTTGCTCGGATCATCTCCTCAGTAAATCCCGCAGCGTGTAGCGGCTGAAGACGTTAGTTCTGTGTTAGTTTATTCTTCTTCTTTGGCTACCCTCGTAGTGTTCTTGTTTGGCGACACCCCGTTTAACTTGCTGTTCTTGCAGTCTGACCATGGTTGCAGATTCACAGTTCTCAATTGGTTCAGACAAACATCCTAACTCTCTTAGAGCATTCAGTATATCAGCCTGGTCCATGGCTTATCCGGCTTTCACAGTAGCCTTGCCTGCAAGCCTATCACCTTGCTCATTTCCTTGTAACCCTTCATGTCCTAGCACAAAAATGAAACTAATCCTTGTCAGCCGTGACCGCTGTAGAGCCACCAACCACTGCCTTCGGACCCAGCCCGTCTCTATCTTCCCGAGCATACTCATCGAGTCACTGAGAAAGCATGCCCCAGTGAAAGTCTTTGTCTCTAGCCATGTTACTGCTTTAGTCACAGCCATGACCTCCGTAGTCAGTCTTCTTGTAGTTACAGCAAAAGCTACAGGATTTTCCTTCACAACTCTCCCTGCAATCTGAGCCGTGAAAGCTCATGAAACAAGACAACCTTGGCACGATGATGATGATGAAACTTCCCAGTAATAAAAAAAATGCACAACAGACCACAGAAGTAGACATTTATAACACATTTATTTATCCATCACGAGTGAGAAAGACCATTTTGCATCCAAAGTAGTGCAAGGACTTGGATTTAAGTGGGGAAGAATGGATCCCGTCTCATTGTGGAGTGCCTGGAAATGAGAAAGCTGATCAACTGGCAGGGGAAGGTGCGACAAAAGAGCAGCCGGATGTACCAGTCACATACCACCAAAAGAAAAGAATCATTAAATCAATCAGGAAATCACCAGCCCCAGCACAAGACGACTATTTTATTTTGGACATACCAGAACAAGTAATTATCCTCCGCCTCAGAACAGGGCACAACCGATTACGTAAACCACATGTACACAAAATTCCGCTAGAGTGTACAGCTGGTGAACGCGAAGAAGATCCCTCTAAAGGCAATCAAGAAAACAAATAGGACAACACTGATGTAATCAACACTGTAAGAACTGCTTTTAAAGACAAAAAATAAAGCTGCAAGCAATGAAGAGAATTTGACAGAAAGACAAGGCAAACTTCCCACAAATGAGATGCATATCTTGTACAGGACATCGCAGAACCAACCCCAGTATTTTTTTTGGTTGTCATGATTTTTCTAGGCGAGTTTTATGTTCAGTAGTTTGCCTTTGCCCATGAACGGTCAGCTCTTGATACCACTGAAAAAACCGACGCAAGATAGTCTGCTGCTAAACTGATTGCAGTTGGGATCTAAACCAGCACCCCGGCATTACGAAACACATTCGCCACGGCTAAGCCAGAAACGCTGGCGAAGTTCCCACAGAAAATCTGAAACTGGTATTTTATACTTGACTGAAACAAGTCAAAGAATGGCTATGTGGGGCCGTCTACTGTGTGTCAGTCAACCAGGAACTTATAACTTTTAATGTTAAAATAAAGGTTTGAACAATTAAAGGACGAAAAAAGAATTTTTGAGAACAACAATGCCGAATGAGGTTTATTAAACCAATGTGATGCCAATATGCAGAATCAGGCTTGGAAACTGAAGATTATGTCTAGGACAGCCTTCAAGAAGAGAGACAGCACAGCACTGGTGCTCTACAACGGAAGGACTCCAGCACTGGTGCCAACAGAAGGACTCCAGCACTGTTGCCAACAGAAGAACTCCAGCACTGTTGCTGACAACAGAAGGACTCCAGCACTGTTGCCAACAACAGAAGGACTCCAGCACTGTTGCCAACAACAGAAGGACCCCAGAACTGTTGCCAACAACAGAAGGACCCCAGAACTGTTTCCATACAACGGAAGAACCCCAGAACTGTTGCCTTACAATAGAAGGACTCCAGCACTGTTGCTGACAATAGAAGGACTCCAGCACTGTTGCTGACAACAGAAGGACTCCAGCACTGGTGCCAACAGAAGGACTCCAGCACTGTTGCCAACAACAGAAGGACTCCAGCACTGTTGCCAACAACAGAAGGACCCCAGAACTGTTTCCATACAACGGAAGAACCCCAGAACTGTTGCCTTACAATAGAAGGACTCCAGCACTGTTGCTGACAATAGAAGGACTCCAGCACTGTTGCCAACAACGGAAGAACCCCAGAACTGTTGCGGACAATAAAAGGACTCCAGCACTGTTGCCGACAATAGGACTCCAGCACTGTTACCAACAACAGAAGGACTGCAGCACTGTTGCCATACAAGAGAAGGACTCCAGAACTGTTGCCATACAAGAGGACTCCAGAACTGTTGCCATACAACAGAAGGACTCCAGAACTGTTGCCATACAACAGAAGGACTCCAGAACTGTTGCCATACAACAGAAGGACTCCAGAACTGTTGCCATACAACGGGGGAAGGACTCCAGCACTGTTGCCATACAACAGAAGGACTCCAGCACTGTTGCCATACAACAGAAGGACTCCAGAACTGTTGCCATACAACAGAAGGACCCAGAACGGTTGCCATACAACGGGGGAAGGACTCCAGCACTGTTGCCTTATAACGGAAGGACTTCAGCACCTCACACATCACAACTCTCTAGAAATATCTGGGCAGTAACTGTAAAGGAAGGGCAATTAGGACATTGCAATTTTAACTTCATAGCAAACAGGCCACCCTACAGTTGCTCCACTCTTGTGTCAACAAATCCACTGTTCCTTGTAATCCACTGATAAAGATTGCAGTCTTGGCAAAGCCAACAACACACGCAACACAGGGCAGTCATCAGAGGTGCCAATACAAGCAGTCCAGCACTAGAAATGCAGTTTATGGTTGGTTCAAGCAGCAGTTACAACAAACTGGAAGCTGCACACACAATTAAAGGCATATGGCACCACTAGGTCTGTGGCAACAGGCCGCTCACCATTTTCCAAATCTGTACATAATTAAAAACACAGAGCACAGCTGAAAAGTATTCCAAATAAAATCCGCACCTCAGTGTCAGGCTTCAAACTCAACCCAGCACAAAAATGAAACTAATCTTTATCAGCCGTGACCGCTGTAGAGCCACCAATCACTGCCTTTGGACCCAGCCCGTCTCTATCTTCCCGAGCATACTCATCGAGTCACTGAGAAAGCATGCCCCAGTGAAAGTCGGTGTCTCTAGCCATGTTACTGCTTTAGTCACAGCCATGACCTCTGTAGTCAGTCTTCTTGTAGTTACAGCAAAAGCTCCAGGATTTTCCTTCACAACTCTCCCTGCAATCTGAGCCGTGAAAGCCCATGAAACAAGACAACCTTGGCACGATGATGATGATGAAACTTCCACGCCTTTCGGCGTATCGGGCATACGGGAAGAGCGCCCATATTTTTACAGACCATCAGCACTCGGTGGTTAATGTGGTCAGCATTACGCCGGCTGTCTTTACTTTCCCAGGACAGCCCATCCTGGTACCCATTTTAGGGCTCTCCACAGAGCCTGCTGGTAATCACCTTTTTGTTTGTTGAAACATTAAGAGGTTTCATCCGCAGTGTCTCTGTCTCTACATACAGGGTTGGCATATCCCAATCACCGAGTTGTTTAGAACACATTTTTAAGTATATGACTAATTAAGGGATTCAAACTCACTTGTGCAACAAAAGCAACATGATAAATATATGACAATTTCAGGGATTTGAACTCGCTTGTCAAATGGACCACAAAAGAAACAAACATGGATAAGTATTTGACAATGTCAGTGATTCAAACTCATTTGTCCAACGGATCATAACAGGAACACACCTGTATAAGTATTTGACAATGTCAGGGATTCGAACTTACTAGTCCAACAGATCACAAAAGGAACACATATGTATAAGTATTTGACAATGTCAGGGATTCGAACTCACTTGTCCAACGGACCATAAAAAGAATAAACCTGTATAAGTATTAGACAATGTCAGGGATTCGAACTCACTTGTCCAAGAGATCACAGAAGTAACACACATGTATAAGTATTAGACAACGTCAGGGATTCGAACTCACTTGTCCAAGAAATCACAGAAGTAACACACATGTATAAGTATTAGACAACGTCAGGGATTCGAACTCACTTGTCCAAGAGATCACAGAAGTAAGTGTACACATGAATAGCCTCCTCCTCATCACTCAGTATAGGTAGCCAGGTCACCAGCCGAGTCAGCAACTCATCGACGTTAACCTTTGACCCGTTGTACTGACATATTTTCACCACCGCTGCAATGGCGTTGTCTGTTGCCGGGGCGTTCTCCACAGACTTGGAGTCCTCGTGTTCAATGACGCTGACCAACCTGGACACACACTCTGAGAGAGGAGAAAAACATGGGTCGTGATCACACAAAATAACTAATGAACTTCGAACATTCATTTACTGGTCCCTGTGCAGAAAAAAGAAATTAAATGGTATGACAGAATCACCAATGCAGAGTTTTGGGAGAGAACTAAACAAGTTCCAGTGGAACAAGAGGTGAAGAAAAGAAAAGATGTTGCTGTTGGATAGGACGCACATTAAAAGAAAACCTGATAACAAAAGCAACTGGAATGTTGTTGCACCCACAACAGCACAGAAATAAAGGCAGACTAAAAAACACATAAAAGGAGCTAGAGAATGAAGGTAAAAAGACAGGGAAAACACAGGGCAAGCTGTGCGCCACATCAAAGTCAGGATGACTTGTACAGTGGTTTCGAGCCTATGCTCCACTGAGGCAACAAACGACACCAGAAAAAGACATACACAAACTAGCAATAGTAGACAAAAACATTAATGGCCCTAAAAACAAAACTGGCATATTAGGAATATCCGTGAGAGCCAAGCTGGTATAAACCAACAGAGGGTTAGTAACGTATGCTAGTTGCCCAGCTTTCCCAGTGTTCAGCTGAGGAAAGGACAACCTGGCCACCTGTAATGAGTCAGGTTTAGAGAGATTACCATTAGATTTCAGAGGAAACCCCCCGATTTAACTAAATAATGGGTATGCCAGACAGGAAAACCCCGACAAGAAGTAGGATACGACTGAATTATTAACACAGGAATGATAAACATCTCCCTCTGGTGCAGATTCAAAGATATTTGGCAGGTAAGCAGCAAACTGGCAATAATTTTACAAAACTGATGTACATTTAGGAAAGAAAACCTGCCCACAGGCAGCGCCTGTCATCTTGAACAGAATCTGCCTAGGAGAAATCAACAGTGCACAAAAGGGCGATCAACTATGTCAAAAAGATTCTGCAGTACAGGGGAACGTTTATGTTTGATTTGGAAATGAAAAGCAAAAAAAGCATCATATACCCAAAGATGTGAATAACAGTCTTGGCAGGATGTTTAGCTTAATTATTTTTTCTTCTGATAGCGCTTTGTTAATGCAGTTTTCACAAATGGAAGGTAGTCTTCGCTGTCTGAGCTACTAAGTTTATTGCTTGGTACAGACCTGTGAGTTGTGTTTTTTTCACGTGGAATGCCTTTCATATGTGCAGCAGACAGGTGTGTCCTGGTGGTATTCAATATGGCTGGTTTCTGTGTGAGCTGATGAAATACCTTATGTAATAATTGTACGTGTGTGTGGCCAACTTATCATGCCAGACTACTTCCATCAACGACAAAATGTATTTCTAGCAACTGCGCATATTTCTAATTGTGTGGGAATAATTGTGTGTTCTCAGTTTTTCAAACGGGAAAGTGAGGGACATTTCATTTGGTTTTCACTGGCACAGGAACGGAGCAAGTATGGGGAAACCCGACTGTGGTCATGTTGAAACCTCAACGAAGACTATCTTCTGATCCGGTTTAGCTCTAGTCTTGCAGGGAAAAGGCGGAAGGGGCTTGAGTTGTGCACCAGATGCTTATAACTAGCTGTGACAGAAAACTGACCAGAAGTATAAACATGCTCACCAGTAAGTACGTCTGCGTAAACTTCCCCACCAAACTGGCCAATAACTCCAATACCATATGCGGCAGCCTGTCGAATCTCTGGGGTCTTGTCTGTGATTGCCTCAATCATGTGTTGGAGGAAGAACTCCACGTATTTGTAGGACAACTGAAACATAACATATGTGTATGTAATATAACTGGAACATAGGAGCATATATATTTATATGACAAATGGAAAAAAAAGGACAACTGGAAAATAGGACAACTGGAATTTAAGACAAATGGAACAAAGGAACAAATGAAACATAACAACATACGACTACAGAAATATAACATCTGAGTACGTCTAACACAGCAAAAAATAATGTATAAAAACTTCTAAGACAGCATAAATATAACCTATGTTTGTCTGGGACAGCAGAAATATAACATATAAGGACTTCTAAGACAGCAGAAATATAACATTCAAGTACATCTAAGACAGCAGAAATACAACATTTAAGTACATTTAAGGCAGCAAAAATACAACATTTAAGTACATTTAAAGCAGCAAAAATACAACATTTAAGTACATCTAAGATAGCAGAAATACAACATTTAAGTACATCTAAGACAGCAGAAATATAACATTTAAGTACATCTAAGACAGCAGAAATATAACATTTAAGTACATCTAAGACAGCAGAAATATAACATTTAAGCACATGTAAGACAGCAGAAATATAACATTTAAGTACATCTAAGACAGCAGAAATATAACATATAAGTACATCTAAGACAGCAGAAATATAACATTTAAGTACATCTAAGACAGCAGAAATACAACATATAAGTAAGTCTCAGACAGCAGAAATAAAACAGATGAGTACTTCTAAGACAGGTTTAGACGACGGATCAGCATCATGACACAATGGTAGTAACGCATAAGTGCTCTGTTCTACTTCTGACTCACGCCTGGGTCCAAAGAACCTCACGCAGTGCACGAACTCCGTAGCACCGGCAAGAATCCTGAAATACTGTGGGTTCATTTTTAACTCAAACATTTTTGCCCTGGCAGCGACGTTAGGCTGCTCCTTTTTAATTTAGAACTGCCAAGGAATTTTTAACCGCGCAATATAACGGAATTCCCCCTGCTGCACGATGCTGATTTCGCAGTCAACACAGCTGCAGATCTGTTGCAGAATTGTTCGTCCCCTATAAACAATGCAGATGAACATAGATCTTTTTAAGGGCTGGAACAAATTAAAATTGTTGACGTTATTTTAAAAGTGACAAACATTTCAGGATACAAGTTGTTCACCAATATAAGCTCAATTATGGAAGGGAGTTAATTCATTTCTTTAGGCTCCACTGTGTGAAAGATAGTAGCAAAAGCCGAATGTAAGCAGTCTTCGAGCACAATTCATTTGTGATCCCCCCAAAAAAAATTGTTGATTGGTTTAGTCTGTTCTTTCCCTCATTGTTTATTTGAAAAAACTATTTTCACTGCACGTCGGGCATACCCAGAAGTGCTCAGAGTTTCATTTTAGCAAATAGTGTGTTTATGCTGACAACTCCTGTTCTGTGCTGCAGGATGTAATGGCTGTGGGCTCCAGCGTGGCTTTCATGTTGCACTACACCAGTTGGTATATCTACACCTCAACATCCGGCATCAAAGAGAAATCGTCATCTTGATGTCTGAGGTCTACAGTACTTGTTCTTTCTTTCGTAAAGATATTAACAGTGCCAACAACATTGCCACAGACAAACAAACAATAGTCACATAACATTTCTAAAAGGCACAAATCATGGCCAGGTGTACTTACAGGCCCGGTATGCTCGATGACATCATCCCATACACACAGTGCCCACTGTCTGTCTGACCAGGGTCTGTCTGGCAACTGAGGGAAATTATGTGACACGTCATGAAGATATAGGCTGGTAAACAGACAAGACATTACAGGTACACAGACAAAGACAGTACAGGTACAAAGACAATTCAGGTACACAGACAAAGACAGTACAGGTACACAGACAAAGACAGTACAGGTACACAAAGACAATTCAGGTAAACAAGCAAAACAGCACAGGTAAACAAAGACAATTCAGTACAGGTACACAGACAAGACAGTACAGGTACACAGACAAAGACAGTACAGGTAAACAAAGACAATTCAGGTAAACAAGCAAGACAGCACAGGTACACAAAGACAGTACAGGTACACAGACAAAGACAGTACAGGTACAGGTCAACGGTACATAGACAGACAGCACACAGTCAACATTACACACATGTGTACAAACCCTGATCAATATTTATATGTATCAATATTTAGGTGAGATAAAACAACTCAATGACCTGAGCCCTCGCCTGTCGGGATTGCAGTGTCGGTTCAACCCCCCAACAGGACCGGTTCTGCGGACCTCAGCTTATCTGTGCTTCATCAAACAACTGCTGGAAAATTTCTGCAATCGCCTAGGAGGAAGGACATGTGGCTAGGAAGGGCACTGGTCACTTCATCTCAACACTCCCAGATAAGAGAGAAAGCTAGACATGTCCAACAGTCGTATCTACAATGGGACCGGTGAGGTGCTCAGCCCTGCCCCTGATCTGTTTTAGAACAGCAGTACTGTGAGAATCAGATCCACATTTCTGAACTCATATTTCAGAGTAACCGCACCAGCACTAAGGTATGACGTAACTCTGCTTTTGTTTTGTCTCTCAGTAATATTTCCCTATTAAGTGCCCTTTCCAACACACAGAGTGTGGTCTGTAATCTCGGACACCTGTCCACTGTATCCTCTTTTACACTCCCCTTATACTTTTACGCAAGTAGCTGTGTCCCATTAAACAGCTGCAATAAATTAACTGTCCGTCTTTGATCTCTTTAAAGCTCCCTGTGTGGGCTCTGAGGCCTCGTAGGAAAAACAAGAAAAGACCCACTGCCTCCTTAACTAGCATATCATAAGAGTTGACTGACTGGGGGCTTCCTATGAAGGAGTGCATCTGCCTGAGAGGCAGGGAACCAACAATCTGCATACAAATAATATCTGTAAAACAATGTGCACGCAACACTCAGGTTCTGAAACAAAAGACTAAAGTCCAGAACTTTCCAGAAAGTTTACAGCCGGTGAACGCGAAGAAGAAGAAAGTCTCATTAATATGCAAACCCTCCCTGCCTTGATATTCTTCTCCTTAACTACACAGCAACAGTTAAATGTCCATTCTACTGCACAATCATCAACACTAGATAAGGAACATGTAATCTACAATTACAGAAGAGAGCAGGCAGAAATGGAAACCTGGCGATTTTTTATTTCTTGAAGGGTGTTGAAAGGCAGGAGACTAGACTTCATCCTGCCAGGTTGTCTCCCATCACTCCCTGTAGTCTCTCTTTCCTAGTGTTATATCATCCAGTCATTGACTACACAACTCTGTAGTCTCTCTACCCCAAGTGATGAATCACCCAGCCATTGACTACACAACTCTGTAGTCTCTCTTCCTCAAGTGATGAATCATCCAGCCATTGACTGCAAACTCTGTATCTCTCTTCCTAGAGTGATGAATCACCCAGCCATTAACTGCAATAACTCCTGTTGATTTTCAAAACATCTACACATTTGAACCAAAGTCAACAGTCCAAAAACAAAACCCACAACCTCCAAGGCATGGAGCCCTGCAACATACACGGGAAGAGGCATGAGGCAAACTAACTTCACCAGAAAGACTTCAAGGAGGTTCTAACCATCAGAAGTTATGCTACATCTTGCACCAACAAAAACAGATGCACAACACAGACATGGCTGACACAACAACCCACCAACAAAAACAGACACACAACAAAGACATGGCTGACACAACAACCCACCAACAGATGCACAACAAAGACATGACTGAATCAACAACTTACCAACAGACGCACAACAAAGACATGACTGACACAACAACCCACCAACAGACGCACAACAAAGACATGACTGACACAACAACTTACCAACAGACGCACAACAAAGACATGACTGACACAACAACTTACCAACAGACGCACAACAAAGACATGGTTGACACAACAACTTACCAACAATTTGACGAAGTAGGGCATGATCTGCTCAAAGATGGGCAGAAAAGACTCCTTGTGGGTGCCAAAAAAGGCGTGGATAATATCTGCAACTTTGCTCAACACGTAGGCGTCCTCGTCATCCTGGTATCGGGGAAAGTGAAAATATAATTTATCTACAATGTTGTGCGATATGTTTACAGTACAGATAGTATATAGATCCCCTTTAACGCCTTGGAGCATCGGGCACATGGAAAGAGCACCCCCATATTTTTACAGATCAATCAGCACTAGGTGGGTAATGTGGTCAGCATTACGCCGGCAATCTTTACTTCCAGAGTGATATGTTTAGAGTACTGTTAATTAATTACCGCTCATAATACTTCAGATAATACAAAGAAATAGAAACCAGATGTCAGAAAGCAAGTGCACTTATATACCAATTGTCACCATTATTAAGACATCCAAGCATAACTATGAGTGCAAAGAGACAGATTATTAATAGCATATTTATTCCAACATTAAGCTACCAGTGCCAAACATGGACACTATCTAAAGCCCATATACGCAAAATCACCACCTGCGAGATGAGGTGCCTGAGAAAAACAGCCAACCTACCATACGAGATTGAGTGAATAATGAAACTATCAGGCAAATTGTGGGAACGACACCTTGTACTAGATTCATCGAGAAACAGCAGATCAAGTGGTTTGGCCATCTCGTTAAAATGCAGCAAGATCAAAAACCATCACAAGCACTACATCTCAGAAGATCAGCTACAAGAGCAAGAGGACGGCAGCGGAAAACATGGATCAACAACATTAAAGACACTCCACGCCTTCACGACATGACAATAGCCAGTGGCAGCCAACGTGCACTGGATCGCAGATTATTCCTCCCCACGCCGCTTAACAGCAGAAGTGGTTTATGATGATGATGATGAATACTTCAGGGAGCCACCATGGTGTAACAAGTAGATGCTTGCCTGCTTATCTGGACGTCCTGGGGTTTGGCACAGAGGTGGCATTTTTCAAACTAGACTTTGGCTGTTAGGTCAAGGTAGCCTTAAATGGGTACCAGGTAAAATTCTGGGAAGTAATGCTGGCCAGCATGCTGCTGAACTCGTTACCCGCTGAGGACCGATTAGTCTATAAAATATAGGTCTCGCCCTATATGCCCAATTCGCCAAAAGACGGGAAAAGGGTCCTTTATTTGTCACTTTTTAAAAATATTTGTCTCAAGGAAACTTATTTGTTTTGAATGCTTTAAAACTGAGCTCATTTACTTCATTTTCTGCACTACAAATTACTCTTGTTTCATGCTGACCTTGTCCTGTCTGGGAGTCGCTGTGGCAGAGCGGCTAGACGCGCGCCGCGGATCGGCAGGTCGTGGGTTCGTTCCCTGGCGGAGCCGGACTTTACTTAAAAAAAAAAAAAAAAAAAATGACATTGCTCCCAGGTCGACCCAGCCTTGAATGGGTACCGGGTGCAGTCCCGGGAAGTAGAGGCGGCCGGCGTGATGCTGACCACATCACCCATCTTGTGCCATTGGTCTATAAAAATATAGGTCTAGCCCTATATGCCTAAAGGCGTGGAAAAAGGTCCTTTAGTTTTTTACTTGTCCTGTCCACTGAGTTTTATAAGTCACAGTTTGTGTTGTATTAAGTACTACATTAAAAAAAGAAGACTGGTAGAAACGTTGTATCTGTGTACTTTTTTCCCATTCCCTCCATTGAGCTGCCTATTCAGAGTCTGTGTTGTATGCAGTACTTCATACACAGAGAGAATTACTGCAAAGGAACAAAACTCTACAAGAGCATCATTTTGCTAGTTCTTCTTTATAGAGCGGAATGCTGGAGAATGACCAAAAGGGATGAACACAAGCTGTCCACCTTCCACCACACATGTCTACGTAGAATTATCAAAATTTTCTGGCCAGATACAACCTCAAACACTAAACTACTTCAAGTCACAAACCAAGAAACTTTAAACCTTATGATTACCAAGAGAAGATGGAAATGGCTTGGCCACGTTATGAGAATAAATCCTGATATACCATACCTGCCAAAACAGCTCTCACATGGACACCAGAGGGAAAGAGAAAACAGGGGCGCCCAAAAACAACATGGAGACGAACGATGGAAAGTGACCTGACTGCGGCATCTTTGACATGGAAAACTGCACTGAAGATTGCACAGGACAGGAAAGCATGGAAAGTCCTCTCTGAAGCCTCGTGTGCCACAAGGCACAACGAGAACTGATGATGATGATGATACACAGAGAACCTGCAGGGTGTAACTAATATATCCTGTTCACTGGACCACAGCAAATACCACATGGTCACTGAGCAGCAAACCAGCTCAAAACACCTCCTGGAAGAAACTGACCACTTATAAACTTGTACAGAGTGCACTGCCTTCCATTCTTCTAAATAACTAAACTAAGCTGTCTAGCAGGTGGTGCAGCATGATTTTGACTGATCTGTAAAATACAGGTCTAGCCCTATATGCCCAAAAGCCTGAAAGTGTGGAAAGAGGTCCTTTTGACTAACATGTCTTAGATATTCAAGCTCACTCACATAACACTGTTCAACACAATTATGCTAGGTGTAAGGGAAAAAATATCGACTTAGAAACGATGACAGAGCACCACAGACAGAAATGTTATACAGATACAGTGGTAACAAAGCTAGAGGTCCACCATGCAGAAGACGGACCACAGAAATGTCAAAGACACTGAAAATTACTTTATACAAAGTAAACAGAAGGGTCTGTTTCAGAGATCTCTTCCTGCCCTGATGCTACAAAGGTATTCCAGGAGTAGAGATGAAGGAAAAGAAGTTACATAATGAAAACACCAAATGTCCTACCTCATCTAACAAGGACTCTTCAACAATCTCATCATAGTCTTCATCCTTCCTCTTGTCCTGCCGCTGCAGATGCCGCACAAAATGTTGCTTCAGGAGCTTGTCCAGCAGGCTGACCAGCATTGACATGTCCTGGTCATTCAGGCAACCTTTGCCCAGGATCTCCACACACTGAGAAAACAATAAAAACCAAAAAAAACTCAACGCTAACTGAAAAACACGGGATGGACAACATTAAACAGCTAAGAAATCAGGGTGCAAAAATCACATGACATACAATGTTTGATTATGTGAAAAAATAAGAGTGGCATGCTTCGCTGCGGAGGACACGAGTGAGGAGTATTGTCTCGATTTTTTCACCGTGTCACGCCGGTGTGCTGGGAAATGAACAGGCGGACAGACTGGCTGGCTCTGCACAACTTGGTGGCATACTGATACATGATAAGGCAGACGTGGTTGGTGCCTTGTGGGAGAGCGTGTACAATGCGGAGGAGCAGATGGATCAAGAGTCTGGTGAGATTGATGCAGTTGGGGGTGACGAGAGGTTCTGTCAGAGGAAAGGCAAGACGGTCATTTAATCAGAAAGCTACTGGCACCATTAGTATCAGAACTCTTCGCAGGCTGCTGAAGATGGGGACGGAGCACTTATGGGAATGCCCCGAGTGCTGTAATGTCGGTTCTTGAATCAAATCAAATCAAATAAAACATTGGATGAAACATCCAATAATTTTAAAAAAAATGACTCAGGTCTTCTTCTTAACGTCCACCAGTTGTAAACTTCGGTGGAAAGTTCTGGTCGTGTCTAATTATAGACCTTGGTCTTGTACTACGACTTCTTGAGTTTTTCTTGCAGGTTTGTTTGACAGATCTAGCTTATTTATATACAGTGCTGGTTTCTTGCCCCTCGAACAGTGAGCAACTAAGCGACCCCACACACACACACACAATTCAAGGGGTAAAGAACATATAACAAAATTGCAAAACTTAACTGACAACAAGACCAAAAACTCAATAAACATGAAACATTTGACACATACTTGTACACACACACACACACACAAAGGCAACGTCTGTGGCTTAGGCGTCATGTATGCTGCTGACGATTTGTCTTGCGCTGGTTTGCACAGTGGTACAGAGAGCTGGCAATTCAGGAGCAATGGCAAACTACTGAACTTAAATTTTCCTACAAAAACCACAACAGCCAATAAATGCTTGGGTTGCTTCTGCAATGTCCGGTAAAGGATATGCAACTAACTAACTTGTACAAAAAGACCCTAGAGGCACAATATTTGACAACAAAGTAACAAAGCAAAGATGCAAGTGATATGTCATATGTTATTATGTTACAAAAGCAAACTCCAAATGACACTAAAAGCCATCTGACAAATTGGTGCTTTATTAATATCCTACCCAGATGACATCACAGGACAATCCAACTTTTTAGAGGGTGGTCAGACTGGCATTCTAATGCTTTTAACGACCCCAAACATCTAGAACTGGCCCTAACCCCAACCCCCCTACGTCCCATGAGAGAGTGCAGCCTAGGTCCCACGACTGCAGGCAGCCTATCTACCATGCCCTGAAATATTAGACTGTCCCGTGACCTGTGGGTTTCTCAGCGTTCAGGGTAGGATATAATTAAAGGGTCGACAAATTTATTAAAATTTAAAAAGACACAAAATGGAGACAGAAACAACAGTACTCACCCGTGCAAACGAGGCCAAATATTCTGGTAGCACAGACTGTTCTGGTTCGATCTCTATGGCCTTGAGCAGGTTAGGACATATGTAGGTTCCCCACATGTTGGCCACGTACTCCTCCCCGCGGATTTTAGCGCACTCCAGTAGGTAGGGCAGGCTCTCTGTGGCTGCGATTCTGACACCTGGTCACTGATGTAAGGCGCATAATCTCACTTCATTCTTCTCTCACAATGTTGAGAAAGTTGGTCATTCATGCTCCATGCAGAGTGGCAAGCATCACCTCAGAGGTCCCAGGTAGCATACTTTGGATATTTTCTCCAGCTCACACCAGTGTGTTGGGAAATGAGCAGGCAGATAGACTGACTGGCTCTGCACCACTTGGTGGTGAACTGATGTATGATAAGTTAGATATTGTGAGGGGAAATAAACAGTGCGGAGGCGCAGATAGATCATTACGGTCTAAGGAGAATGGCGCTGCGAGAAGTTACTAGGCGATCTGGCCGATGCTCAACACTCGGGCAAAAGATGAGACAGATATACAATCAGACGGTTACCGGTACCATCGGAATTTAAACTCTTCGCTTGATGCTGAAGATGGGGACTGAGCACTTATGGGAGTTCCCCCCAAGTGCTATGATGTCAATTCTTGCTTGTTAGGTATCAAGTTACCACATTGCAGAACCAGACAATCTATCTACCTGATCATTTCCCAATACACTTCTTGCATGACCTGGAGAAAATATGCAATTATGCAACAATGTCCCAGGTCGACCCAGCCCTGAGTGGGTACCGGGTGCAGTCCCGGGAAGTAGAGGCGGCCGGCGTGATGCTGACCACATCACCCACCTTGTGCCGTTGGTCTATAAAAATATAGGTCTAGCCCTATATGCCCTATACGCGTGGAAAGGGTCCTTTACTTACTTTACTTATGCAACAATGTACAGTAAGAAACAAAAAACTGAAAGCTGGCGCAAGAATCAATTTAAAGAATGAAGTTTAGGACAGCATGCAAAAGCTATAAAAATCGGATCTACGACGAGAAGGAATAAGCAAAAAAGGATACTGTCGTTGAAGTAGAACTTCAGCAATGGCACCATGATCTTGACAACATCCTCGGAATAAGCAGCAAATCCTTCCTTCAACTCCCTGGCGTAACAGACCAGCATCTGGCAGGCTGTGGCCTTCTCCTCCAGCCCTGCGGTGCATATCCCAAAGCTCTGCTGATAACCACAACAACAACAGTTTAGGAGACATGTTAATGTGACAATGTGATGCACCACTGAAATTAATGTCTAAATACACAATCATCGAAGCAATCTTCTGTCATTGCAAAACTCTCCTGTGTGTGCAGTTACCTTCGTATTCGTCCCAGAGAATGCAGGTTTTGTTGGTAATGAAGGAGCTAATAGACTGGCAGGTGCTGCATTAATTGAAGATGTCCAGCCCCTGGATCACGCAGACATTGTCATTGCCCTCAGTGAGATAGGAGGTTACGAGGATTTTGAAAGCAACGTGTCCACATCAATGCTAAGAATACGCGAATTAGGAGTAAAGATCGGCACAGCCAAGCATGAGAAGCACACTGGAAACACACGAAGTCTTGTTAACCAACATAGGACTGGCACTAATACCCGCCCGACGCTGATGAATATGTTGGAGGGGAATCTGAATACGCGAATTAGGAGTAAAGATCGGCACAGCCAAGCATGAGAAGCACACTGGAAACACACGAAGTCTTGTTAACCAACATAGGACTGGCACTAATACCCGCCCGACGCTGATGAATATGTTGAGAGGGGAATCTGAGCAGCTATGGATGTGTCCACATCGCTGCTAAGAATACGCGAATTAGGAGTAAAGATCGGCACAGCCAAGCATGAGAAGCACACTGGAAACACACGAAGTCTTGTTAACCAACATAGGACTGGCACTAATACCCGCCCGACGCTGATGAATATGTTGAGAGGGGAATCTGAGCACCTATGGATGTGTCCGGAGTGCTGTGAAAATAATCTAACTCATAACTCAAGCTTCTGTCCCTTATCCCCACTGGAGCAGAGGGCCTCAACTAAATAGCAAGAGCCCATTTCTCATTTCCTGTCTTCAACAGCTCACGTGCTCGCTGTAATTGTCTTCTGTATATACTTAGGTTTTAGCCCTGTTTTAACTGGAGTAAAACCTCGATGAATTTTTTGTTTAATCATCGGTTTCTGTTATCCGTTGTTTGAGAAAATAGTATTGTTTATCATATTGCAATAAATCTTTTTCTTCTTCTTCTTCACTTCCTCTTTTACCGCTGTGGGTGTCGAGGGAGATATAAGGTTCTGTTTCTAGCTCTTCTGGCTGCCTCGACCATAGGCACATCGTGCTGTTGTAGAGTTTCTATGATGTTATCCTTCCATCTTGTTCTTGGTCTACCCCGTTCTCTACGTCCTTCTTCTCTTTCCATGTATGCTTTGTATGGTATGGTGTCACAAGGCATTCTCTGTAAGTGGGCAAACCATTTCACTTGCTGTCTTTGTACGTAATCCAGAATTGGTTCTGTGCCGACTTGTTCTCTTATGATCTCATTCCTGATCTTATCTCTTATGGTCACTCCTACAGCCCTTCTCAGACATCTCATTTCCGTGGTTACTAATTTTCTTTTATGGTTTGTTGTAAGTGACCATGTCTGGCACTGGTAGCACAGAGTTGGAATAAATATGCTTTGAATAAGATGTCTCTTTGTGCTGATTGGGATTGTCTTATGCTGTAAGAGGGGGGCTAGCTGTCCCAATACTTGGTTTGCTTTACTGCATCTAATGTCAATTTCTTTATCCAATTTCCCATCTTCGGTAAATGTAGTTCCCAGATATTTAAACTCAGATGCCTGTTTAATGCCTTTGTATTCTATTGCTATGTTTAGATCTGTCTTATTTTTTCCTATTGACATTACTTCTGTCTTTTCAGTGTTGATTCTCATATTATTTATTTTACATTCTTCATTCATTGCAATAAATAACTACTCTTATATTGAAGTTTATATTAATCATTTTGTAAAATTAAATATTATATGTACGTTTTATCAAATTCAAAAGTATTTATTTTCATATTTTCAGTGTAATAAGGTTACATTATGTGTGTAGTAAGCAAGATCTGATTTCCGTCTATTCACTTATCTGTCACCGCCCTGGTCCTTGGGCCGCGCTAGCGCAGTCGATAAGGGGCCGCGTTAGCGCAGTCGATAAGAAGCTCGCTTTCAAATCCAGCTGCGACTCGCTGCAGCCCACGGTCCGTGTTCGAAATGGGTACCAGAGTGATACTCTGGGGTAAATGGAGGAATGTCGCTGTAGCTACAGAGTTACGTGTGAACGGCGACACAGGCGGACAATTCTTATCAGCTGTCCGCACTGGTTGCAGAGCACTTATGGTTTATAACCGTGTGCAATGATGCTGGTTCACATCTCCCGACTTTACCTGTTTTACCTGGCGGTGACGGTTAGTCACAGTTTTGCTGTTTACTAGAAAGAACCCATGTCTTCCCCTGTAAAACAGGCAGTTACTTTTGCGAGAGTCTTGATTCTTTATTTCAGTTGTAAATGATGAATGAATTTGCTTCATTTTATTCAATTGTTACTTTAGCATGCACTTAAAGAGGTATAGCAAAATATACCAGGTTTGTTTTCTCGGTTCTCACACACAGAGGGCTGCATGGTCTCAGAGTATGGTGTCCGCCTCGAGTGCTAGAGGTCCCAGGTTTAAGCCCCGGGTGAAGGCAGGGATTTTTTTTCTGTTCACATGAACTTCTAGCAATTTGCTCTGGTGTCTGGGTAGTGAGAACAGACGCCCGTATTATTGTTGAGCACGTAAAAAATCCCTTGGCGGTTAGAAACCGAAAAGAGTAGCCTAATGACGCTGCCCGGGCAAAATTCGAGTTAATAATCTACCCACAATATTTTAGGATCCTCGCTGGTGCTACAGAGCCTGTGCACTGCGCTGAGCTACTTCGGACTCAAGACTTGAGTTAGAAGTAGAACAGAGCACTTATGGGTTACTACCCATGTGCCATGATGTTGATCCGTTGTTCAAACTGCGAACCTGTTCTCACAACATTAATGCCTGCAATTTTTGTGTCTGTGGTTTTACCTTTCTTCGAAGTGTCTTCTTTATGTGTGTTACAAAGAAGGGACCACCTTAGCCATACAAACAACAGGTGCACAAAACAAAACTCACCTGGTCACCAAGAGTCACAAACTGCCAGTCGGAGTTATTCTCTAGATCTTTCATGTCTTCACCTGAAACATCAAGGCTCACACATCTTTATCTGTCCCCACATGTGACCTACACTTATCTTCTTCAAATCTACATTCTCCAGCTGTAAACTCTGGCAGAAAGTTCTGGTTGTTCATCCACTTGTGGACTGCAGTCCTGTTCCAGAACCTGAGTGTTGCATGCGCATCTGTTTTACAGACCTGACTCATTTATATACATACTGCTGGTTCCTTGCCTCTCAGGCAGATGCACTCTGACGTCGAAGGAAGCTCCCAATTAGTCAACTCTTACGACATACTTTTGGGTAGGCAGTGGGTCTATTCTTGTTTTCCCTGTTACAGGGCCCCAGAACCCACATATGTGACCTACACTTATAAACCCCACAATTTCACTGAAGCATCAACTGACTACTAAAATGCCAGTTGCTGATCAGACAATAATGATGGTGACTTCAAACATTCAGTCAGTACGGCTACCAGGTTGTCATCATGTCAGCAACATACCAGAAATTGTTTTGGTATAACAGAGTATAGCAATTCATATAACAAGTATCCAGGCTGCACACAACAGCAAGACTGCACAAAATAGCACCATTGCTGCACATAACAGCACCTAGAATGCACAAACAACAGCTCCCAGACTGCACACAACAGCCCCTACACCGGATGTAACAGAACATTAGTTTACATAAAACATCCTGGAGTTGATTAGAACAGTAGCCTAGGCTGAAGCCAACAGAAGTGGATGTTCAAATAAGATAAACCCAATCACATCTCAAACTTCCATACCTAGATGAAGGCAAACTGACAGACAGACAACACACACACACTAAAGCTACCTTGCATGGGGACAAACACACATATGGACAAGTTAACATACATCAGAGACACCTGACTGGTAGTCTGGTAGTCTGGTAGTCTTAGTTTCAGCTTCATAGCAAACGGGTTGCCCCATCTTTGCTCCGCTCCTGTGCCAGCGAAAAACACTCAGAATGTCTATCACAGTCCCTTGTGGAAAGATTGACAGACTGCTGTCTCAGCATATCTAGCATACACTCGCATTAAAGCATATGGTAGCCATCCGAAGTGCTAACACAAACAGTCCAACATTAGAAATGCAGTTCATCATTGATGATAGCAGAACTTACGTCAACAGATCAGCACAAGTCCGCGTGATCAATTTTAATACGGGTCCCGCAAGCATTGAACGACAGGCATCGCGCCATTTTCTGAATCTACAATTCACACCACCACGTTGGTCACAGTCGAAAAAAAAAAAAAACATTCCAAATGCAATTCGCAGCTCACAGGGTCACGCCATGCATTCAACTCAGAAGCTGGGCGACGAAACTATATCCAGTCTACAAATGGAGCAAAAATGCATCGGCCACCGTCCGGCAGAAGCAAATAATTTGCCTCTGTTCCGAACGGCGCCGCTGTCTAGCGTCCATTTTAACCGGAAGTCGGTGAATACCTGACTGAGACAGATAAGTACACACACAAAAAGACAGACAGATAAGTACACATACAAACAGACAGACAGACTCACTATCCACCAGAGCCACCTCAGGTTTCAGTGAGGCAGCCTTGAGTACAGGCCCCATCACCAGGGGCAGGTACTGCTGGAACTCCTTGCCCAGGATCTTGCACATGCGGGCCCAAGCGGAGATCATGTAGGTGATCTGTGGACAGATGGCCATGATTAATACCAACAAAAATATAAATGACAATGGTTCTTCTCTGCAAACATTAGTTCATGAGCTTACTATGACACTAGTCCGGGTTTAATCCTTGTAAAGTGGATAACATGTGGATTCTGGTGTCCCAATGTGGTGGTGGTGGGGACACATCAGACCTACTGCCTCCCAAGAAGCATGACTAATCATTAGTGTCTGCTTATAAATGTGAGTGCATCTGCCTGAGAAACAAGGATCCAACAGTCTTCATACAGATAAGCCAGATCCTTAAATAGCTGTGTGCAGTCCCGGGAAGTAAAGGCGGCCGGCGTAATGTTGACCACATCACCCATCTTGTGCCAAGTGGTCTATAAAAATATAGGTCTAGCCCTATATGCCCTATACGCCTAAAGGCGTGGAAAAAATGTCCTTTACTTACTTTAAACAGCTGTGCAGCAAAAACTCAAGTTCGGTGGAGGGGAGGGGGGGCAAGAAGTGTACAAAAACCATAACTTTTCTCTGGAGTGCACAGTCGGCAAAAGCTAAGGAGAAAGAACAGTCAATATTAGCCTAATTTTCTAAAAGACAACCCATTTCTCCAAAAGACAGTGTTATTATATACCAACCAAAAGATACTGTTAAGTCTCCAACTTCTACAATGCATGGAAAAAGTGCACAAATGATCCTTACAGACCCCCTCAACACCTTGCTGAGGGAAATGGTGGAAGAGAAGAAGAAGAAGAAGGTCTATAGAAAGAAGTGTTTCTTACCTGAGGGTCATCATCAGCCAGATCATCCTGGTCTGTCTGTGTCTTCAAGAGCAGCTGCATGACATCGTTGCAGTCCTGCATGAACTTCTCCTTGCCCACGGCCAGGCCGATGAGACTGATGCACTCGATGGTCTTGCCCCGCAGCAGACGATGTTCCGGGTTCTGGACATGCTGCATGATGTACTTGAGGCACGGCATGAACCTGCAGTAGAGTGTCATTCCATCAGTGAATCTGAGAGTTTGCCACAGATCTAAGTAAGAATTATCATCACCCATCAAACTGGCATCAGTATTACAAGTCCTTTACAGAACGTTGCTCTGTTCACGGGACACCTGAAAGTATAACTTTTCCTAGCCAGCTCTCCAACCCCATGTGCTTTCATTTCCAAAGCATCTTTAATATCCTGTATCCATCTTCGAGGATGTCGACTCCTGCCTGGCCTTCCACAGACTGTACCCTCCAACACCGACGCTTGATGTGGCTAAAATACGTCATTTTTCTGGGCAGGGTGCTCATTATGAGCCAGTTGTCCTTGACGTTCAACTCGTGTAGAATGTCGATTTGTTTCCTCTTCTAGATTCATGGCATTGTAATAATTTTTCTGTAACATTTTAATTCAAAAGCTCAAATCTTTTTCCTCAGTGACTGAGTGAGAGTCCAGGACTCACAACCGTAAGTTGCCACAGGAAAAATGCATGAACTCGAGATTTTTACCTTTTTTTACAGGTGCTTTGTCATAGGTTCCTCCTACTGTTAAATCTCTGCATTGCAAACGCAAGTCGGTACTTCATTAATATCCTACCCCAGATGATGTCACAGGACAGTCCAACATTTTAGAGGGTGGTGTTGTTTATTTATAACATGTTGTTTATAACATTTTATTTTGTTTGTTTATAACATTTAACATAACATTTTAGAGGGTGGTATGTTTGTTTATAACATTTTAGAGGGTGGTATGTTTGTTTATAACATTTTAGAGGGTGGTATGTTGTTTGTTTATAACATTTTAGAGGGTGGTATGTTGTTTGTTTATAACATTTTAGAGGGTGGTATGTTGTTTGTTTATAACATTTTAGAGGGTGGTATGTTTATTTATAACATTTTAGAGGGTGGTATGTTTGTTTATAACATTTTATTATGTTATACATTTTGTTTAGAGGGGTGGTATGTTTATAACATTTTATTTATAACATTTTGGAGGGTGGTATGTTTGTTTATAACATTTTAGAGGGTGGTATGTTTATTTATAACATTTTAGAGGGTGGTATGTTTATTTATAACATTTTAGAGGGTGGTATGACTGGGTTTCCCAGGGTTTCTGGTAGGATATTAAGAAAGCATCTGCAAGTCTTCTTATGACTTCTTTCGAGCAATCGCCACTGTTGTTCACTAAGGAGCTCAAGTGTTCTAAATCTGTGACAGTTTCTATGTCTTCATTTTCAATTGTGATATGATGTTCATATCATCAAGTCTTACAGATTATTATTTGCAGTAATGTGAGCAATATTTCTACATAATACAGCAGGACATTTTCCTATGTTCCACTGTTCTCTAGTAACCTCTATATTAAAATATCAAAGTATCTATACAGATGGCTATGTGCTGAGGGGCAGACAAAGTGATTGTGGTTTCATAGCAAAAGTGAATGGACGTTGCTTAGTGCAGCAAAGCCTTGCATATGATATCACAACGTCTAGTTTGAGAATGGAGGTGGAGGCAGTCTCTGCTGCCTTCCGCTGGCTTGAGAATCAGCTATACACACATACCTATTTAGGTAGACGTAACACTAAAGACAAAAGTGACTGAAGTAAAAGATCAATTTACCGATTGAGGCAGTAATTTTGATAGTCAAGGAAACACAAAGAAAGAATTATACACTGACAAGGCATCAGTAGCTTTTAACAGCCTGAAAAAATGCAATCGAAAACATATGCTTCAGGAAAATGTTGAACAAAAAATAGGATGAATTCAAGAGGGATGAAGAAAAAAGAGAAATGTCTGGGTAACTACTATTATCAAGTTATCTGACAGAGAAGACAGTGCTATACTGAAAAATGCCCTTAAACAAATTTATTCGGTTTATATTTATTTAACGCATCAACATCATGACACACTGGCGTAACCCATAAGTGCTCCGTTCCACTTCTAACTCAAGTCTAAGTCGGAAGAATCTCAGCGCAGTGCACGAACTCTGCTGCACTGGCAAGGATCCTGAAATACTTTGGGTAATTTCTAACTCCACATTTTTTCCGGGCAGCGCCCTTAAGCTACTCTTTTTCAATTTCCAACTGTCAGAGGATTTTTTTTATGTGTGCAACAATACACACGGGCATCTGGTCTTACTACCCAGAGACCAGGGGAAATTACTAGAAGTCCATGTGCAAAAATCGTAGACTTCAGAGGGGCCTGAATTCAGCAATCGAAGCCACACAGCCCCTTTAAAAAAAAAAGATGAGAATCCGCAAATTCACACAAAATGGGAAGTGAGGAGATTAAAGTCAGGCTGCATAAAAGAAACCCTTGAATGAGGGAGATCAATAATGCTGGAATGCACAACATCCATGATATTGAACTGACTGCAAAGGAAAGATCGGAACAGAGAAACAGACTGCGCACCATGTGTAACATATAATTTGGAAAAACAGGACAATCAAAGAAAATGTAGAAAACGTGAACACGGAAGAGACAACATTTTTTACCTGTCGTAGTACTGGAGGAACTTGTCTTGTGCCGTGTCTGCCACAGAAGCCAGAGTTGTGATAACCTGCTCCAGAACTAGCTTGTTGCCTTTCTCTAGATGCTGGGAAAGTCAACAAACATTTTATGTTATGTTATGTTACGTTAGTTAGTTAGTTGGGTTATCCTCATTGAACTCCGAAAATGTCCATAGGTTCAGATCACAACCCCAACGATGGCTAATAGTACCAGTTCTATGTTGATTAACTTTCTGGCGTGTCCGGTGTGCGTCTTGTTTTTGCTGTGCCGATCTTAATTCCCAAGTCTGCCATTCATGTGGATTCACTGCCACCAAAGTCCTCTATCCTTCCCATTTCTCTGAGGGCCAGCATGATCCATAGGCTGACCGTCGGTAGTGATAGCGGATCCAGCCAACCTGTCAGCTCTTTCATTTCCATCGACGCCTGCGTGTCCCGAAACAAAAATAAAAGTTATGTTACGACTTCCGGTGTAAACAGCCACAGTGGCGGTACGCTTTTTCGTCCGTTGAGGCGATTGGCGCAAATTAGCTATTTTCGCTCACGTATAATGTGAAAGTTTCATCGGAATGGGGTCTGAACCGTGCAATGGAGTACATGCACGTGAGTTTAGACTTCCCTCAGGGTGTATTCGACGTCCTATGTTACGTTATGTTATCACAACAGAGGTCAAGGACATACTTCCATGTCTTCAGAAATAACTTTTCTTTCTGCCGGAGTTTACAGCTGGTGAACGCGAAGAAGAATCTGCCGCAGTTTACAGCTGGTGAACGCGAAGAAGAATCTGCTGGAGTTTACAGCTGGTGAGCGCGAAGAAGAATCTGCCGGAGTTTACAGCTGGTGAATGCGAAGAAGAATCTGCCGGAGTTTACAGCTGGTGAACCCGAGGAAGAAGAAATGGAACAAAATCAATTGACAGCTAGAGTGTGCAACATAAGAACAGCAGGTTTGCAGAACCAGCCCAATCTATCTACCTGATCATTTCACAAGACACTTACATATCTTCAGAAGTAAACAATATATGGTGACAGCTTCATTTCTGCAATAGGCGCAGTATCAATGAATACCTTCACAGAACATCAAAGAATGAAATGGAACCATCCCTGTGTGTGTGTGTGTGTGTTCCAGGGCCTTTTACAGGGAAAACAAGAATAGACCCACTGCCTACTCAAAAGCATGTCGCAAGAGTCGACTATATGAGAGTTTCCTTTGAAGTCAGATTGCATCTGCCTGAGAGGCAAGCAAAAAAGATACTACAAAAAACGCAATATGACATAACACAAGCTAGACAACTAGTAAGACAGGAAACAAAACTTCTTCTCAATGATCCTTTACAACACAAGCAGTTGGACAAAAGAAGAAAAATCACTGCACTCTGGGTATTCTTCACACGTGTGATCAGTCCTTCAATGCAGCAGCCACCTCAGCAAGTTAACAGTCTCGGACATCTTGAATGTAGTAAGAGTTACAGATGGTTGTCGATGCCAAATTTAATTTTTTTTAATTTTTAAAACCTCTATGCTGGAACAACTATTTAACTGACAGTGACAACACAATCGCATGCCAAAACCAGGTTCAAGGGACAAAACTGTAGAGCAGGGAAACAAAGACAACGAACGTTGTGAAGATCTCCAGGAGGGCACATCCGTCTCACAGACAGTGATGTCTCTCAAAACGACCCCTTCAAACAGATGTGCCTGCTTCGCCATGTGGGTTTTTAAGGCCCCATTACTTACGGTGGGGTGGGGTAGGGGGGGAGGGGGACCTACTGACTAATAAGCATGCTGCTGTTAAAGTCGAAAAATTAGGGGCACATCCTTTAAAGTTAAAGTGCAGCTGTCTGAGAGACTAGAAACCAATAATCTGTATTTAAAAATATTTAGACCTGTAAAAATCAATACACAAACAAGGAATAAGACCAAAGTCCAGAAGTGGACAAACAACCAGAACTTTCTTCTGAAGTTTACAGCTGGTGAATACAAAGAAGGTGTGAACATTGATATGGATATACACAAATAAGCAGTACAGGTAAGTTTCAACAGGTTTTCACATTCCATGAATAAAAAAACAACCATCAACAGACAAAAATGAACAGACAACCATGAACAGACAAGACAACCATCAACAAACAGGCATCAACAGAGAGGCATGAACAGACAAGACAACCATCAACAATCAGACATCAACAGAGAGGCATGAACAGACAAGACAACCATCAACAAACAGGCATCAACAGAGAGGCATGAACAGACAAGACAACCATCAACAAACAGGCATCAACAGAGAGGCATGAACAGACAAGACAACCATCAACAAACAGGCATCAACAGAGAGGCATGAACAGACAAGACAACCATCAACAGACAACCATCAACAGACAACCATGAACAGACAAGACAACCATCAACAGACAGGCATCAACAGAGAGGCATGAACAGACAAGACAACCATCAACAAACAGGCATCAACAGAGAGGCATGAACAGACAACTATGAACAGACAAGACAACCATCAACAAACAGGCATTGACAGAGAGGCAGGAACAGACAACCATGAACAAACAGGCATGACCAAACATTCACCTCCTTGAACAACCATGAACAGCACCTGAACAAACAGGCAGGAACAGACAACCATGAACAGACAACCATGAACAGACAACCATGAACAGACAGGCAGGAACAGACAACCATGAACAGACAACCATGAACAAACAGGCAGGAACAGACAACTATGAACAGACAGGCATGACCAAACATTCACCTCCTTGAACTTGCTGTTGAGCACCTGCTCCAGCTTGAGGAACACCTGTATTATTCCAGGTACTTCCTCCAAAGTTATGTTTGGGGGACTCCATACTGAACACCAGGGCCGCGGCTCCGTGGGTTCCTGAACTCAAAGTTACTGTATCGTCCAGGACTAACATACAAGGCTGGCACAATCTGAAATAGGCCAGCAAAGTTACTGTAGGCTGGGGACTAACTTACTGAACACCTGTATTATTCCAAAACTTCCTGCAGCAAAGTTACTTTAGGCTAGGGGACTAACTTACTGAACACCTGTATTATTCCAAAACTTCCTCCAGCAAAGTTACTTTAGGCTGGGACTAACTTACTGAACACCTGTATTATTCCAAAACTTCTCCAGCAAAGTTACTTTTAGGTTGGGGACTAACTTACTGAACACCTGTATTTTTCCAAAACTTCCTCCAGCAAAGTTACTTTAGGTTGGGGACTAACTTACTGAACACCTGTATTATTCCAAAACTTCCTGCATCAGAATTTCATCGGAGATAAGTTCAATATTACATCAAATAACCTGATTACTGAAAAACATTTAAATGATAATTTAGCCATACGAGCCAAGCTCCCATTATAAATATGGGAATCCATGAGTAAGACCAAATCCTTCATTATCCCCATGTGGGATGCAATTTTTAGTTATTTTGAAGCCCCACTCTGGCTTATTGATAGGGGCCCTAATATAACCTAACAGGGTTTTCCAGAACCTCGCCATGGGTGATCATCATCTCAATTGTGGCGCTTTGTGTCACCGGGTGTTTATCGCTCTGTGTAATGTCCTGGCGGGGTACAACTTAAGACCAATTCACATAGAGGAATTAAATGGTATGATAGAATCACTAATGTAGAGTTTTGGGGGAGAACTAAACAGGTTCCAGTGGACCAAGAGGTGAAGAAAAGACGTGAGGTTGGATAGGATACATGTTGAGAAAACCTGGGAACAGTATAACTAGAATGTCTTTTCACGGGAACCCACATTGACATAGAAATAAGAAAAGACAAAAAAAACACGCGGAAAAGGAAGCTGGAGAGTGAAGTTAAAAAAGATGAAGAGGACATGAGGAGAGCTGCATGCAAAAGCGAAGGATAGAACGACCTGGCATGAGCTGGCTAGAAGCCTATGCTCATTTAGGAGCTAGAAAGGCAGAAGAAGAGAAGAGGACGAATAACACCAGGGTCCACCCTAATAAAATAAGGTGCTGAAGTGACATAAAACGCAGTGACATATTTTATGATGAAAAAAGTGTCACATCATCTGATAAAAGTGTCATGACTTAAGATAAAAGTTACCATAGGATTAAAGCAACATGCATTATGAAACTTAAAATGAAAATATATTTAGTTCAACCTTAGTCTCCCCAAACAAAGTAGGTCACATTCCACAGATAACTTTGTTAGACTGTTCTACTTTCCTGGGGGCTACGGGTGTGCCACTCTGTTGTTTGCTTTCAGCATTGTCTTGCATTTAGGTTGTTTTTTTCCGAGAAAGTGCATGCCTGTGACATAGGTTGCAGCACTCTCTGTGTTAGACCTAGTTTGTCCATGTTTCTGTAGTGTTAAAAGCGCTGGCATGCTAAAATATACATACATATCAACGTCACTGCGGAGCGCCGCGACTCAGGAAATACCAATCAGAAGTGAGCTAGTGTGCATATGGGTGGGCTCTGGGGGGACTAACGTCAAACTAACCGAAAGTAACATACACTAGGATTAAAGCAACATACCTTATTATGAAACTTCTTCTGACAATTGGGCCCGAAGTCTGTACAAAGCTGGCCAAGAGCATTACAAGCAGCATACCGAACCCGTGGATGCTGGCGGAACAAAGAAACATCAGGTGTTACAAACTGGTTCTGATCAGGCAAAACTAAAAGATTTTCAGTGGCTGTGAGAAATATTGCAACAAACAGCACTCCAGACAGATCCATAGGTGCTCCGATCTCTTCAAAAAAAGCTCCACAAGTGTAAATTGACTGATGATGCCTGTTCTGTGTTGGTAATGTTAACGTCTTGTCTCTTAGTGAAATGTTCATTTTTTGCAGCTCAAGGCTGCACTCCCATGTCCATCAGTCTAGACAAGGATACGGAGTCATGTCATTTGGCATGCTCTTTGGTATGTTAAGTGCAGCGCATGGCATTGATAACAGTGTTAAAAGTCAAACCATACAATCTTATTTACTTATGCGAATTAACATATTGTCTGTAAATAGATTGATGCCCAGTTTACACATCAGTGCTGTAAATGGGCACAATGCAATTACATCTGATGAATGCAGACGTAGCAGTAGTTTACAGAAAGTCTTATATATGAAAGTAAAAATGTTGCAGAACGAATGAAGAACACGTCAGACACAATATCTGTGCTCTGAGCACATATATTAACTTAAATGGTCTGCGTGAGAATCACCAGTACTGCATTAATAGAAATTCCAGCAAATCAAGAGGTGAGGAAACAATGGCTGCATTACATATGAAAGAAAGCCAGATGATAGTATCACTAGAATGTACTGCACTGGAACCCACATGGAAAATATTCAATGAGACCCAAACATATGGAAAAGAGAACCAGAAACACAAATATGGTGAAGATTCAAGGGAAAGGGGGCTTGATGTGAGCTGGTTCACGCTCCAAAGGGGGATAGTGATCACAACATGTAATGATTTATTTATAAATCTACTTTCATCAGCCATCTCCAGGTAATCATTGTTAGTTATTCTAGCAATCCAAGGTATTATTAACATTCTTCTCAAAAACCACATCTCAGTAGCCTCTAAATTTTTCTTAATTTGTTTGCTTACATTCCAAGATTCACTGCCATATAACAGAACAGGCTTGATATAACATTTCAATACTCGTTTTCTTTGAAATGTTGCTGTAGTCTGGCCAATTCTGCTCTTAATTTCTGTCACACATTGTCCATCTGACATCAATGTCCCCAAATACTTGAATTCATTGACTTGGCTAAGCTCTTTCCCTTCTACTGCTGTTACATTTTGTAGTCATCCGAACTGAATGAACAACCAAAACTTTCAGCCAGTACTGTGAAGAAGGGGGAAACAAAATTCAGAGATGTTAAGGTACTTCTGTGAGGGGAATGGATAAGACAGGATCTGGACAAATTTATTCAGCAGGTCGTCATGGCAACAGCATGCTCAGGATTTGGATGTTTATTTAGCAGGTCGTCATGGCGACAGCATTCTCAGAGGTAAACAATGTGAAGAGTTTAAACTCTGAATTTAAGGACTGCCTTGTTTGCACCAGGTTTCATCCCACATAGCTTGGCCTCTTTCCACAGAATCACTAGCCACCTGCCAAGAGCGTCGCACAAGGCATGAATCCTTCAAGATCTCCATTAAACTGGACTTAGAACTTTCAGAGCCCAAGGCCAAAGACTCGACCATTTCCCCAGGCAGTCAACTTCTCTGACCTATGTAACACAAGCCACACACTAGCTAAACAACCTACTGGATCTGCAGCAAATGGAAGCACAGCATCCACGATGTTGCCCAGCATCTGTTCCATGTGGGTGTGACAGCCCTCACCACAAGCGGATACGGCCATCAGCCCAGCGTAGCGGTACTTCCAGTCAGCTGTCAGGAGTCAACAGAGTCACTGAGTTAGTCACCAGTAAAGACCAAGCAAAGACCAAGCAAAGACCAAGCAGAGACCAAGCAAAGACCAAGCAAAGACCAAGCAGAGACCAAGCAAAGACCAAGCAAAGACCAAGCAAAGACCAAGTAGAGACATCAATATCTATACTTTAATCTTCTGGATAGATATATAATTTAATTAATGACAAAAGAACCTATTTATCTTGTATCAGATTATCACATCATTCACCGCCCCACTTCTGTTGATACAGAATCGGAAGGTCATAGATTCGGGTCCTGACTAAGCCAGACTTTTGTTTCACAAACAACTGTCTCCCAGGTTGACCCAGCCTTGACTGGGTACTAGGCACAGTCCATGGAAGTAATGGCAGCCGACGTGATGCTGAGCACATCACTAAAGTGCCGACTGGTTAACATAATTTGAGGTCTAGCCCAACATGTCTAAAAGCCTGGACAAGGGTCATTTACTTTTACTTCTGTTGATAGACTTCATAAAATTCCTCATGGCCCCAGTGAGTAACCTTGCAAGATCTGCAGCTCTCTGTGTTTGACTATTCTACAACATTCTTGTTTCCCCCCTACTGCATCACATAAGTTATTTTTTTCTTTTATTTGTCTAACATCCACACCAGTTCATAGAACAGACAGTGTACAGACACCACCACACACAACTGTAGAGCCATCACACACACACACACAACTGTAGAGCCACCCCACACACACACAACTGTAGAGCCACCACACACACACAACTGTAGAGCCACCACACACACAACTGTAGAGCCACCACACACACAACTGTAGAGCCACCACACACACACACAACTGTAGAGCCACCACACACACACAACTGTAGAGCCACCACACACACACACACTCACAACTGTAGAGCCACCACACACAACTTAAGAGCCACAACACCTCCCCCCCCCCCCCCCCCCCCCCACAAATGTACAGCTACCACACATATAACTGGACAGACACCACACACACACAACTATACAAACATCACACTCACAAACCTACAGTCACCATACAACTACACAGCCATCACACAACACTTCCTGTTCCCACACACACACAACTATACAAACAACTGACCTTGTTGAAGCATCTGTGAGATATTGGACACAATGTAAGGTAACATAGTCTTGCCTCCGAGTGCACACGCCAGTCGGTCTAGAGCGGCCTCTCCAGCAATAGGGTTCCTGGCAAACAACCAAATTACACAGCATTATTATTATGTACATAATGTACAATCAATACAGGGGTGAGGCAGGGATGTGAGCTATCTCCTATCTTATTTACTATATACATAGACAGAATATCAACAGAAGTTAGTCAATCCAGTAAATGAGGAAAAGAAAAAGAATTAGATCCACACTCAATAAATGAGCTACTATTTGCAGACAATCAGTGCTTGTTGTCCAACGACGCGAGTAGACTGCAAGAACATTTAAACAGAATAAGTTCAACATGCAGAAGATATAACAAGAAAATAAATACAACTAAAACTGAAGCAATACAGGTCAGCAGAATTCCTAGTCCGCTACACATCGGGTTGAATTGTACTTGTCTGAAGCAAGTTAAAGAATTTAAATATCTAGAAAGTGTAGTCTCGGTAGACGGAAGAATAGATCGGGAAATAGAAACAAGATGCCAAGGAGCCAGTGCACTTACATACTTACTAACACCGTTATTAAGACATTCAAACATAGGTATGAAGACCAAGAAACACACCATTAACAAAAAATTCATAACAACACTGTGCTACCAGTGCCAGACTTGGACATTATCAAAGGCTAAACTACAGAAAAATCAACACCAGTGAAATTAGATGCTTCAGAAAAGCTTCCGACTTAATCACCCGAGACAAAGTTACAAATGATATTATCAGACTCGGAACAAAACCATGCAGTAAATTCACTGAGAAACAGGAGATATAATGGTTTGATCATTAAATAAGAATGCAGCTACAACAATTACCATCGCAGGCGCTACTCATGAGAGGATCTGAAGTGAAAACAAGAGGCCATCCAAGGAGAACAGGGGTTAATGACATCAAAGAGCTTGTGCATCGACATAGAATGACAATAGGCACTGTTGTGATTAAGAAGATTCTAAAACAGCTGTTCTCCACCTGCCGGCCGAGACCCCTTTTTTGTGTGGGTCAAACGACCCTTTTACAAGATTTGCCTAAGGCCACTGGAAAACATTTGTAGGTCGCCACAACATGAGGGAACTGAATAAAAAAGCCACTGTTCTCAAACATTCTAAACCAAAAGTTTTCAACATTTTATGGACGGGGGCCTCTCTTAACATATGGCAAGACCCCACACTCCGCCCCATTTAAAACAAATGTGACTAAAAGGAGAAGGAACACACAAAACATTCCTATGCACTATTAACAAAAATTTGGAGAACATCTACATAACTCAAAGTGTCGAAAAACATAATACCTCTGGCCTTTTTTGTGTTTTACAAATAGTTTTAAAAAAATTGTTTACTTGAAATTAAACTGCACAAAATAAAATAGTGTTAGCATAACAACTTATTACAAGTACAAATGCAACTGCTCGACGCCCCTCCTGAAACGCCGCACCTCTCCCCAAGCTGAAAACCATTGTTTTAAGTGAAAAAGTCCAGAAAGATGTTATACTAGGGAAGGAAAAGTGTGATGGAGACTCCTCAGAAGCAACAGTCAATGCAGACATGTCACCTGATAATGATAAACACCTGCATTATAAATAAATTAAATATCCAGATCTTTCAAAATGTAAAGGAAAATGGTCTGACAATGACGCAAGAGAAAGGTCACTTACGAATCTGTGTCCTCGTCATCTTCACTGTCCTGGATGGACCAGTCTGGGTCATCTTCCAGGTCAACCATTAGAGCCAGGATCTGCTGTACTAGATAAACAACACAATTCTGTCAGCAGACGTAAGTCGACATGGCAACGGGTAATGTAGTAATGGTATTGGATAATGTAGTTATCGTAGTGGAATCTGCAGTAATCACTGTATACAGTGATGGTTAGATGATGTAATAATGATCCAATATAGTAATGGCTGGACAATATGGTGATGGCAGTAGATAATGTAGTAATAGCATTGGATAATGTAGTAATGGTGGTGGATAATGTACTGATGGCTGTGGATGATATAGCAATGACTAGACAATGTAGTAATGGCAGTGGATAATGTATTATTTGCTAGATGATGTAGTAATACCTGTGGATAATATAGCAATGACTGGATGATGCAGCAATGGCAGTGGATAATGTAGTAATGACTGGATGATGCCTTGAAGAGGAATAATGTAGTGCCGGCATTGGTTAATGTTGTAAAGACTAGACGATGTAGTGATGGCATTGGATACTGTGGTAATGGCTGGATGATGTTATGGCAGCGGATAATGTGGTAATGGCCAGATGATGTAGTAATGGCAGCGGATAATGGCCAGATAAAACAATAATGGCAGTGGATAATGTAGTAATGACTGGATTCAGGGCTAGTTTACTCATTTCTTCCCTTTTAATGTTATCTCCTCTTGTTTATCCTGCAGCACTTCTAAGATATATCATCTCTATTGTTATCACTTTGCCCTCACTCAACACTTGACTTGAAATGTCACAACTGACATGATACATACCAAGCAGCGGGATAAACTTGGCAAACTTGCGGACCATGGCAGGGGCGGTCTCTGACATTGTTACGATCACCTCTAGGGCCAACTGTCTCCAGGTGTCTTCCAAGTTGCTGTCTGAGACAATCTACAAGTACAGAATACACAGTTAAACATTATGTTTCTCCTCTAGTGATTTTGTGTTTCTATGTAGTATTTTTTAATTTGTATGTGCTGATGAAGGCTTAATAGCTGCAACTTTCACGTTTTGTTTGTATTTGTTGTAAAGCTTACCAATATACTTTTCGTTCGGGTTTATATCTCCTTTAGGCTGGTGCCGGTAATGGTCTTACATATAGTTGAACAATTTTTCTCATCTAAGGTGGTGTCAAAATAGTAACAACACAATCTTCTTCTTTTTTTTTTAAATATCCAGAAACAATGAGTTGTTAACCCTTTGGCTTGGTACTATGGATATCGCAACCAGTCGGCCTTGATTCCATGATAGATACCGTAAATCTGGGAGAAATGTGGCTTTTCTGCCTACCCCAGGGCGTGAACCCGAACCACAATCAAACAATGCCTCTTTTCTAGGCTGGCGTCAAAACTGCAACAATACAATCAAACAATGCCTCTTTTCTAGGCTGGCGTCAAAACTGCAACAATACAATCAAACAATGCCTCTTTTCTAGGCTGGCGTCAAAACTGCAACAATACAATCAAACAATGCCTCTTTTCTAGGCTGGCGTCAAAACTGCAACAATACAATCAAACAATGCCTCTTTTCTAGGCTGGCGTCAAAACTGCAACAATACAATCAAACAATGCCTCTTTTCTAGGCTGGCGTCAAAACTGCAACAATACAATCAAACAATGCCTCTTTTCTAGGCTGGCCTCAAAACTGCAACAATACAATCAAACAATGCCTCTTTTCTAGGCTGGCGTCGAAACTGCAACAATACAATCAAACAATGCCTCTTTTCTAGTTGGTGTCCAAACTGTAACAAAGTGTCGCTTTTCTAGGCTGTGCCGAAAAAGTCTAAAAAATAAAGAATAGACACAATATGTTTCTCTTCTGTGTTGGCTTTTCATAGGTCAAAACTGGAACAAAACTAGAAAAGTTCAAGTGAAGAACATACAGTTGGCTGAGGACTCACCCTGAGACACAGCTCAAAGACATTCTCCAGCTGACTGCGAAGGAATTTGGGCACATTTTCTGAGAGCTCGATGAGACACTTGAGTAAACTGTCGTCTTCCTGAGCTGTCACACTGTCGGCGATTCTCTGTAAATATATGTACATTCATGTGACATTGTCGGCAGCAATAATCTGTACATATATGAACAATTGTGTGACAGTGTTGGCGATACTCTGTAAATACGTATGTTACAAATGTATGCTGCTACACTCAGTAAGAATGTGGACATGTACATACTTCTTCTTCAGCATTCCGAGCCCTTAAGGTTCATTGCTGCAGATATCACCCGCCTCCATTCATCTCTCATAATATGCATATTATCATATAAATATAACATGCTTATTGATAAAATACAGATGCAGTGTGAAAGACGAGTGTTTGGAAGGGCCGAATGTAAGACGGGCCTGCGTGCCCAATTTGTGACCCTTTGAAAATAAAGTTTGTTCGTTTGTTCTCTGGTTGGCCGTCTCTTTCCAGTTGGTGACTCCAAGTGTTTGCAGGTCTGTCTGGACATTATCTCTACGTCGTCTTCTTGGTCTGCCTCGTGGTCTACGGCCATTCATCTCCCTTGTGTTTACAGTTTTTACTTCTGTCATCTGATATTCTTTCAATATGCCCTAACCAATCGAATTTTCATACTACTTGGCCCATATTCTGGAAATATTTGGACATTTGTTAAACACTATTGTAAATAGGTAACTTATAATAGATATTTAAAAATTTATGTGGAAGTGTCGGTTATTCCACAAAACCACTCTTATCCATTTATTGAAGATGTTCCAACGTACCGCGATTGAAACCTACTGCTGGATGTGTAGGTTTTTATCATGGTATGAAGCGTTGCAGGTCAACCCAGCCTTAAATGGGTACCAGGCGGAAATATGTCCTGGGGAAGTAAAGACATCCGACGCAATGCTGACCACATTACCCACCTAGTGCCAAATGGTCTGTACAAATATGGGTGCTCTTCCCATATGCCCGATGCGCCTAAAGGCGTGAAAATGTATCTTTACTTTACTGAAGATGTTTTCTGAAGTGTTCTTTAAAATCACATCGTCCGAGTCATTTTCCAATGATCTTCCCTAAAATGCTGTGTTGTGACAGTTTAATGTTGCGTTCTTGAAGTCGAATCAATTCTTTTGATTAATATATTGTTGTTTTTTGATATCACTGTAAGCAACTCCATGTTTCACCTATTTGAAACATCTAACTGCTGTGATTAAGGTTTAACAATATAGCTAAATTAATTAACATTTTAGAATTGTTCTTTTTACTTTAATGTTGCGTTCTTGAAGTCAAATCAATTCTTATGATTAACATTATGTGTGATTTTCTATAATCATTGTTTAGAACATTGTCTACAAAACACTGTTATCACAACTCGCCAGAACAGATGAGTGTTAACTTTACCAGACCGCTGGTTCGCTATTACGGGAATTTCCTAATCTGCTGGCCTTCAATGTCAGGAATTTACATACTACAAAAACGATGCGTCACAAACTAAAAAATAACTAGCCAATCGTAATCAGACCTCGTGGTTAGTCATTGAGAATTACTGCCCACGTAGCCCGAATTTTTTTGTTTTTGTTTGACGGGAAAAAATTCTGAAAATTCACAATAAAACGAGCGGCTGATGAACCAGGCACTTCGACAGGAAACTGAAGTAGGTCTAGGTTTTTCACAGGCCAACGGGTGATCGATATTTTGGTTGATTTAGACTCTTGAGGAATTTAGTGAAGAATACATATTTTTTTTTTAATGGAGGAACGTTGCTGTAGCTACAGAGTTACGCGCGAACGGTGACACAGGCGGACAATTCTTTTCAGCTGTCTGTACTGGTGGCAGAGCACTTATGGTTTATAATGGTGTGCAATGACGCTGGTTCACATCCCCCGACTTTTTAAGTCAAAGTGATAAGGAGAGTTTTGAAAATTATAGGTTTAAAACTAGATCTAGTAAGAGAAGGGAGGTGTGTCCTTTAAACAGCAACATCTAGTGCCCCCTTTATGAAACAATCACAATCTTTATGGGTGGAATATTTGCGCTCGATGAAACGTAAACATTTTTTCTACAATGTCTTTAAGTTTCATCTTATTCTAACCACTTGTCTGCATGTGTCGGCTCTGTGGCTAAGTCCATGCGAACGCTTCGTAATGCCGGGATACTTGGTTCGATACCAGCTGCGGGCCATGCGCCTTGCGTTAGTTTCGACAGTATCAAGAGAGCCGACCGTCCAAAAAGCAAGACAAACTACTGGATGTAAATTTGCCTAGAAAAACCACACAACAGCCAGGAGCTGTTGGGGTTGGTTCTGCAACATCCTGTAAAGGATACGCAACTTACCTTGTCTGCATGTAACTAATATTTGTGTAAATCGTGTTGGTTTTTCCGTGTTGATGCACAGGAGCTCAGGCATAGGGTGCAGTTAGGTTCAGGGCCTCGGGTCTGGTAGGGTTAATAATTCTGACTTTACCACCGAACAACAGCCATTAAAACAAAAGAACTAACCTGAATCAATAACGGCAACAGTTCCTTCATGTGGTTATGAACCGCCGGTTCCTTCTCATTGTTAACTATAAACGCTGTAGTAGCCTTGACAGCTTCAAAACAAACCTGCAAACAGAAACATGATGCTAGTCAAATTTACAAGATAAACCTACAGATAGAAACATAACATGATCAGACAAATTTGTGACTACGAATGCCTGAAAGGATAGACACACGAACAGACAGAAGGAATATAAATATGACCAGTTTAATTAAATAGAATACATTACCTGAACCCCGTGACTAATTTTCCCGTGCGGGTTCCGAGGCCCCATTTTGGGGGAAACAAGAGAGAACACACCCAATGCCCCGCCCCCTATCCTCCACAATAAGCATCGTAAGAGTAGACTAATTAGGAGTTTCTTTTTCGTGGTGCACTAAAGTCGTAGAGAGGGGGCTGCGTGGTCTGGAGGCATGTTGTTCGCCTCGAGTGCTAGAGGTTCCGGGTTCAATCCCCGGTCAGGGCTGGGATTTTTTCACATGGACTTGGACTTCCAGTAATTCCCCCTTGGTCTCTGGACAACAACCAGAACTTTCTGCTGCAGTTTACAGCAAAGAAGAGGAAGGGCGACTCAGGCTTTGACCCTGAGACATCTTATCTCTCTGGCTTATGGAAAAACCGAACATCAACCTGGCTTCAAATCAGACACTGTGGTCATAAGGAAATCATTTGAAATGTAATTTTTTTTTAGCTATTTTATTCGTTTCCTGGCCCATTTAACACTGGGCAGGCACACACTGAAACTTTTTTTTAATTATCCAGAAACCATGAGCTGTAAACCCTTTGGTTCAGTACTATGGATATCGCAATCCTTCGACCTTGATTCTATTATAGGTACCGTAAATCTGGGGGAAATGTCGCTTTTCTGCCTACGCCCGGGAGTGAACCCAGACCACAAGGAGTTCATCACCGGGCCGTAGCGAAGTCAGCTTTAACCAACTACGCTAGCGAGCCGGGCACACACACAGAACTACGCTCCTCAGTGATGAGTCACCGCAGACAGGCCAATATATCGTCATTTAGGGGAACTGTGTCACAACAGAAAGTGACTAGATTTGTCTTTTTAGGGAACAGGGTTAAGCTGGCTAAGAAACAAAAAATTAATCAAATACAGCAGTTCCCAACATGCTGGCCGCGACCCTTTCACACAGTTCGCCTAAGACCACAGGAAAACACATATTTATTGAAGTTATGAAAGAAAATAATTGTTTGGGAGAGGACTACAGCATGAGGGAACTTTATTAAAGGGTTGTGGTTTTAGGAAGGCTGAGCGAGAGCCACTTTTTCTTTTCTTTGTCCTTTCTTTGCGCTCACCAGCTGTAAACTCCGCTGAAAGTTCTGGTTGTTTGTCCACTTCTAGACTGCAGTCCTGTTCCAGAACCTGAGTTTTGCGTGTGCATCCGTTTGACAGATCTGACATCTGTGGGCAGGCTCTTGGTTCCTTGCCCCTCAGGCAGATGCACTTCGACGGAAGCTCCCAATTAGTCGACTCTTATGACATGCTTTTGGGTAGGCAGTGGGTCTATTCTTTTTTTTTCCTATATAAGAGCCCCGGAACCCACACTGAAAAGAGGGGGGGGGGAGTAAAGGGGTTGAGAGCCACTGGTCTGATAGATCAAAGGTGTTACAAGAATAGTATGTGCCAAGCTAGTTATTTTCATCCTTACACCTGTATCAGAGGTGTTTAAAGGACTAACCAAACTGAATAACACTCATAAATAAATCCAACATAAACAACACTCATAAATTAAATCCAACATAAACAACACGCATAAACTAAATCAAACATAAACAACACTCATAAATTAAATCCAACATAAACAACGCGCATAAACTAAATCAAACATAAACAATATCTATAAATGAACCAACAAAATCACTCACCTGTGGGTGACTTCTGTCCATCAAGGCCACCCCCAACATCTGTTTCACCACATCCAAGTACTGTGCCTGCTGGTTGCCAAAGATGCCTGGGACAGCACTGGAGGGAAGACAAGTTACAACAGAGATAAGCCTTGGACAGTGCTGGGCGAAGACAAGTTACAACACAGATAAGCCTGGGACAGTGCTGGGCAAAAACAAGTTACAACACATATATAAGCCTGGGACAGTGCTGGGCAAAAACAAGTTACAACACATAGAAGCCTATGACAGTGCAGGGGTAAGACAAGTTACAACATATATAAGCCTGGGACAGTGCTAGGCAAAAACAAGTTACAACATATTTAAGCCTGGGACAGTGCAGGGGTAAGACAAGTTACAACATATTTAAGCCTGGGACAGTGCTGGCACAAGACAAGTTAAACACAGATGAGACTGGGACAGTGCTGAGCGACATGTTTACAACAGAGTTTCAATATATAAACATAGATCCTGGGACAGTGCTGGCACACAACATAGACAAGTGCTAAACACAGATGATCACTGGGGAAGACAGTGCTGGGCAAAGACATGTTACAACATAGTTCAGCAATAAGACATACAACACAGATCATCCTAAGCCTGGGACAGTGCTGGGGAAGTTACAACATAGATCAGCCTGGGAGAGTGCTGGGGGAAGACATGTTACAACATAGATCAGCCTGGGACACACACATATATCTATACAATAGACAAAAATTACACCCAAACATTTGTGTGTGTCCTGTTCAACTAGGGGAGGTCTTTATGGTGAAGCGGTCAAGCTGTTTATCTTGTACTCTGAAGATTAAGGGTTCGTTAATGGCTGTAATTTTCGATTCACGAATGCAATTTTTATGTACACTCGTATGGGCCATCACCAGAGCTACAGTGATCGCGTGCTAGCTGTTCTGCGGATAAAACCAGATGCTATGAAGTCACTTCTTTCACCCTTAACCTTTTTGATTAAACTGGGAGTCAGTTATGAGAGACAGCCTGAGAAACTTTCAGTCAGTCAGTGTTTAGTTATGAGAGAGCCTGAGAAACTTTCAGTCAGTCAGTGTTCAGTTATCAGTCAGTGTTCAGTTATGAGAGAGCCTGAGAAACTTTCAGTCAGTCAGTGTTCAGTTATAAGAAAAAGCCTGAAAAACTTTCAGTTAATTAGTGTTCAGTTATGAGAGACAGCCTGAGAAACTTTCAGTCAATCAGTGTTCAGTTATGAGAGACAGCCTGACAAACTTACAGCAATAAAAGAAAGTAGACATTATACTGAAATATTTTGGTCATATCAAGCGCTACGACGGATTGGAAAAAAATTATAGCAGAAGGCATGGTACCAGAAAGGAGGGGCAGAGGCCGACCAACACGAAGATGGGCACAGGATATAAGTGACTCCTTGAGTATAAAAGTGCATGAGGCGGGAGAGCTGGCGAGAGACCGAGTTTCTTTCAGGCAGACTGTGATGAGAGCGACGTTCTGCAAAGGACCTGCTACATGATGATGATAAGACATTATACACCATTTTGACAAACAGTCAGTGATCAGCATGACAGACAGCAAAACAGTTCTGTGTTTACTAAACCATCGTCCTACCTCAGTATGTGCAGGGCGCTCTCCTTGAGGACTGGATTTTCTGAGCTGGCACATTCAAAGAGGAACTTCAAGGCTTCAGGCCATTGCATATTGTTGTCATCATCTACAAGTGGACATAGAACAGTCAACAAGTCAAATCCACAGAAAACAAGTCTACAAGTATAATAATTATAAAAATTAGGAATCGACATCACAGCACTCAGGAACGCCCATAAGCGCTCAGCCCCATCTTCAGCAGCAAGTGAAGAGTTCCAATTCCGGGGGTACCAGTACCAGTCCGATTGTGTATCTGTCTCATCCCTAACCTGAGCGTCGACCAGATACCCTAGTAACTCCTTGCACTGCCACTCTTCTTAGACCGTAATGATCCATCTGCGCCTCCTCACTGTTCACTCACTCCCAAAGGGCCCTAACAATATCTAACTTGCCATACATCAACTCAATACCAAGTGGTGCAGAGCCAGCCAGTCTATTTGCCTGCTTATTTCTCAACACACCTGGAGAAAATATCCAAGGATGCTAACTACCCAGGACCTCTAAAGTGATGCTTGCCACTCTGCACGCCTGTTTTCACCTTTCTCATACTCTGTGAGCCAGTTACAATCACGGCATGTGTGTTCAGCTGATTCTAAAGCCAGTAGAAGGCAGCAGAGGCTGCCTCCACCTCCATTCTCAAACGTGATATCATATCAAGTGGGTTGTGTGTGCAGACTACAGAACATGTCCTGCAAGAATGTTCCTTGTACAGTCTATTAAAAAGGGAATGACGGCCCAATGAGTCAACACTGCACTAAAAGTTGAATGGAACTGAAAGTTAATCACAAGAACTTGTCTGGTGGTGTAAATCAGGAAGTGAACACAAGAAGAAGAAAATAAATGGAGCATGATCTAGAAAGATGAGAGAAGCAGATTCTGCTGTTGAATCCTGACATCATCATCATGTGGCAGACCATCAACACAATATGGCTACTGCATCATCCCAGCAGTAAGAATCTTAACTCCCCAAGGCTGGGTCGACCTGAGAGCCAAGGTCATTGTTGAAAAAGTCCGGCTCCGCCAGGGAGCGAACCCACGACCTTCCGATCCGCGGCGTGCGTCTAGCCGCTCTGCCACAGTGACTCAATGTAGGGTTGTGATAATGTTGTCTCTAAAATCATGAGCCAACTTTCGCCGTGGTCAGCCCCTGCCTCTTCTTTCAGGAACCCTGCCCTGCAGCAATGTTCTTTCCTAACTAAGGAGAGGTGGAGGCAGAAAATGACAGAGTGGGATGGAGGTTATCCGCAGCCAAACCTAACAACACAGGACAGATGTTCCCTGTGTGGGTTTCCGGGGCCCCATTGTGGGGGGGAAAACAAGAATAGACCCACTGCCTACCCAAAAGCATGTCGTAAGAGTCGACTAGTTGGGAGCTTCCTTTGAAGTCGGGAGTGCATCTGCCTGAAAGGCAAGGAACCAACAGTCTGCATTCAAGTGAATCAGATCTGTAAAACCGATGCACACGCAACACCCAGGTTCTGGAGCAGGACTGCAGTCCAGGTGTGGACGACTAACCAGAACTTTCCGCCAGAGTGTACAGCTGGTGAACGCGAAGAAGAAAGAAGGACAGATGTATGTCAAGGAACATGAACACCCTGACATTCGGCATAGCTCATGACACTATACAATTATGAGAAAGCGTATCAAAAACGCAAGAGGGGAAAGAGGCAGAGAGAAGATTCTGGACAACTGGACATCATGGCATGGAAGATTATATGTGGCAAATGATTGAAGTACATGAGATGGCCGGCCCATGGATCACGCTGACATTGTCACTGCCCTTAGAGAGATACGACGGTGGAAGGATTTTGGAAGCAACGTGCCCACACCACTGCTAAGAATACGTGAATTGGGAGTAAAGATTGGCACAGCCAAGCATCAGACGCACACAAAGTCTTGTTAATCAACATCGGACTGGCACTATTAACCGGACGACGCTGATGAAAATGTTGTGAGGGGAATCCCTATGGATGTGTTCGGAGTGCTGTGAAGATAATCTAACTCATAACACATGAGACAAAAGGTTGCAGAAATGACAACCAACGCCACACGGCATGGACTGTAAGAAGAAGATATGACAGACACGTACTTGAGTCTAATTTGTGAGCATCCCCGTAAACACACTCAACAGCACATCACTAACAACGAAAAGACCTACCAATCATATTCCTGGCGAGTTCAGCAAAAATATCACAGATTTTCTTCCGGACGGAGGCCACAGTCTCCTGGTGTATGGCCGTCATCAGCTCCTGCTTGACTCCCGCCTGAATGTCCGGCGTGATCTGTTGCCATAGCGTCTCAAAGTTGGTTGTGAATAATCTACGGAGAAGTACCGCTGCCAACACACGTTGCTAATTGGAAAGACATTTATAATTGTTATTTACTGTTGCAAATGACAAGTGGTCTTGTTATTCTTCTTCGCGTTCACTGGTGAAGAGTTTTTGTTGTTTATCCACTTCTGGACTGCAGTTCCGTTCCAGAACCTGAGTGTTGCGTGTGCATTCGTTTTTACAGATCTGACTCATCTGTATGCAGACTGCTGGTTCCTTGCCTCTCAGGCAGATGCATTCTGACTTCGGAGGAAGCTCCCAATTAGTGGCATCTTACGACATGTGTGGGTCTACTCTTTTTTTCCATATAATAGGGCCCCGGAAACCCTCACGGGGAATGACAAGTGGTTAAACAGGCTATGTTGTTGCATAAAATTTGTTTTACATAATATACGGATACTGAAGAAAACGGTTGCCACATCTCTAAACAACGATCATATTTTTCTTCTTGTTTTAAATCCCACAATTACGGTTTTATCTATTGATGGGTCACGACATCCCGTAACTGACGGCCTGTGAAGTATTTAACTCTTCTATCTTTACAGCTATTCTGCCTAAAACCCATCCTATAATGCAGGATTGTAACATATCTCGTCTGCTTTGTTCAGATGCTTTGTTCAGATATCTACACATTAAGTTGAGAGTACTAATATATTTTTGGTGATACTGTCAAGTGACTGGGTATATTAAATGAAGGATTATTTGGCTATCCTCCGAATAATGGTCGTAAATTATCGGGGCGGAAAATATACCCTAACATGGCCCCATTCACGTGTCAACTGCGCAGTTCTGTCGCCTTGAAATGCGAGCTTCCGTTGACTTCCGTCGCCGCCAAATTGCGAACTTTTGGCAACCTTCGCCACCGCGAAGAGTCCCCCCCTCTCCCCGTGGATTGGGGCTAAACTAGATGGCTAGGACTCACGAGCAGCAGCTACTGCATAACCTGCAGCTTCCTTCGTTTTATTTGCTCGTGAGTCCTAGCCATCTAGTTTAGCCCCAATCCATGTTGTGTAAGCGCGTGGGGGACACTCTCGGCGGTGGTGGAGGCTGCCAAAAGTTTGCAATTCAGTGGTGGCGTTATAGTCTCCAGAAGTGCGCAATTGACACGTGACTGGGGCCCTCGATAATTTACGACCGTTGTTCGGAGGATGGCCGATTATTTTATACCCTGTCCCCTAACCCAGAATGTCCCCCAACCCACCCTGTCCCTTAACCCACCCTGTTTGCAGACCCACAATCAAACCACAGAGCTACTCACTTCCTCAGGAATGTCAGAGTTCCTGATGGCCTGCACCAGGTACAACAGCTTCTCTGGCGCTGAGACATTTTCATACAATTGCTGAAACAAACAAGACCAAAAGTAGGAACTACTGAAACAAATGATAAGAATGATGAGCAGAGGCTAGCACAGCCTGGAATGAGTTGGTTGAGGGCCTATGCTCTAAACTGGGGTAAAGAGCCCAAAAAGACATGCAGGTGGTGTAGACACAATAAGACAGTGAGGTGGTGTAGAAACAATAAGACAGTGAGGTGGTGTAGACAAAAGAAGACAGGTGGTGTAGAAACAATAAGACAGTGAGGTGGTGTAGAAACAATAAGACAGTGAGGTGGTGTAGAAACAATAAGACTGAGGTGGTGTAGAAACAATAAGACAGTGAGGTGGTGCAGACACAAGAAGACAGGTGGTGCAGACACAAGAAGACAGGTGGTGTAGACACAATAAGACAGTGAGGTGGTGCAGACACAAGAAGACAGGTGGTGTAGAAACAATAAGACAGTGGTGTAGACAAAAGAAGACTGAGGTGGTCTAGAAACAATAAGACAGTGAGGTGGTGCAGACACAATAAGACAGTGAGGTGGTGTAGACACAAGACAGTGAGGTGGTGTAGACACAATAAGACAGTGAGGTGGTGCAGACACAATAAGACAGTGAGGTGGTGTAGACAAAAGAAGACAGGTGGTGTAGAAACAATAAGACAGTGAGGTGGTGCAGACACAAGAAGACAGGTGGTGTAGACACAATAAGACAGTGAGGTGGTGCAGACACAAGAAGACAGGTGGTGTAGACAATAAGACAGTGAGGTGGTGCAGACACAATAAGACAGTGAGGTGGTGCAGACACAAGAAGACAGGTGGTGTAGACACAATAAGACAGTGAGGTGGTGTAGACAAAAGAAGACTGAGGTGGTGTAGAAACAATAAGACAGTGAGGTGGTGCAGACACAAGAAGACAGGTGGTGTAGACACAATAAGACAGTGAGGTGGTGCTGACACAAGAAGACAGGTGGTGTAGACAATGAGACAGTGAGGTGGTGCAGACACAAGAAGACAGGTGGTGTAGACACAATAAGACAGGTGGTGTAGACACAAGAAGACAGTGAGCTGGTGTAGACAAAAGAAGACAACGAGGTGGTGTTGACTGTTCAGTTGTTATGTTTTCTTAGTTTTGGGAATCCACACCACTGCATTCCAGGCAAACAGACTGTTAATTCATCTCTCCCAGCACATGTAATTTACAGTTTTTCCCTGACAATAAGTCCTAGCACGATTTTTCACAAAGCTTGAAACAGAAGCCTGACCCCCGAGTATAAGCCCCAGCTAAGATATTCAAGCAAGCGTATGAACATTACACTCCTATTGAAACACAAAGAAAGTCACTGAATTTTAAGGTAGGTATACAAATACCTGAATAAATGGCACTTTATGTAGTTAAAAAAAAAAAAAGACATTCCCAGAAAACAAGCTGTTATGCCACTTTTAGAGAGAGAAAATGTATTAAAGACCTGACCTGTGTGCTGGGAAAACACGGTACATGCTGATCATTCTAGTAACACACTGGGTGAAGGGGGCTTAATCTAGTTGCTCAGAAGAACCACGCGAAATCAACAAAACTAGTTAGTAGACAAATTATCCTCATTACACATTTGTAATTAGGGGAATTTCCACATGGAGTTTTTAGTGAGGTGATAAGGTTAAAAATAGGCTGAGAGAGAATGTGATGAGAGCACGAATACCCACAGAAGCAGGAATTGTGGGAAGAGTGCTCAGGTGACCAGAGATGCTTGTTTGATACCTGTACATGTGGCGCGATAGAGACGTGAAGATTGCAAAGGTAGCGAACGTAAATCTGGTAATCTTAGTTTCAGCTTCATAGCAAATGGGTCACCCCATAGTTGCTCAGGCTCCTGTGCCAACGAAAAACACACAAAATGTTTATCACAGTCCCTTGTGGAAAGATTGACAAACTGCTGTCTCAGCAAATCAAGCATACACGCGCATTAAAAGCATACGGTAGCCATCCGAAGTTCTAACACAAACAGTCCGACATTAGAAATGCAGGTCATCATTGATGGTAGCAGAAGTCACCAAAAGATCAGCAGTTGCACACGCGATCAATTTTAATCACATAATGGCCCCACCAATATTGCAACAACCGGCATCGCGTCATTTTCTGAATCTACAAATCACACCACCACGTTGGTCAGTCAAAAAACATTCCAAATGAAATTCGCAGCTCACAGTGTCACGCTATCCACTCAACTCAAAAGCTGGGCAACGAAACTATATGCTTCCAGTCTACAAATGGAGCAAAAATGCAAAGGCTAGTCTGGCAGAAGCAAAAATGCCTGCCTTGAGCGAACGTGAATGATTGTGTTCAGTGGTGAGGGACTTTGTCATTGTTACCTGTTGAATATTTGGACGTGCTAGAGAGTAGCAGACAGTGACTGGACAGCATGGTCTTTTGTGAGTAATGATATAAACTGCGATTGGTTCTCCTCAATAACATCTGTGTGCGTCAATTCGTCATATGTGTCAGTTGTGGTATAATGCCCTAGGAAACAGTCAGAGCACACAGAGAGCAGTGTCACAACACTGAACCATTCAGTTCATAAGTGCCCAGATCCCCTCCTCAGTAAATCATTCAGCATACTGACAACACCAGTTCTGTGTTGGTTTCTTAGTCCTCTTTGGCTTCCTGCACATTGCTCTTGTCTGGCCACACCCCTCTTAACATGTTGTTCTTGCAGTCTAATCATGGTTGCAGATTCACAGTCATCACTTGAGTCTTTGAAAAGTCTTACTTCTTAAACAGCGTTCAGCCTGGTCCATGGCTTTTCTGTCCTCCCCAGCAGCTTTACCTGCAAGCCTATCAGCTTGCTCATTTCCTTGCACGCCTGTGTGCTCTGGCATGAATATAACAAGTTATATTTGTCAGCCCCAACCACCTCAGAGACTGAAAATATCGCCTTTGTAACCAGAACCGAGAGAATTCACACTTTTGGAGAACAAGTGACTGCAGATATGGCTAAAAAGCCGCATTTACACACTGTTCCAACCTCATCTGTATTTCTTCTCGCAGCAAAAGTGCTGAAACTAGCAAAATGAGTGCTGGAGCTTCCTGTCTGTGCAAAAGTATATCAGGATTGTGCACTTCCGTCGTCTTAAACTGCGCACTTCCGGCGAGAGTATCTCCGTGATGCTCATGCTGTGTAGATTGGGGGCCAGGATGTGTTGATGGTCTGAGATATTTCTCTGTGGCTGGCTCATAGACAGCTTCTGGGCAAATGTGGCATGAGTGGATACCAAGCAGCAGCACATCAATAGTACAGGGACTCACACGGATATACTGTCCGGGACATGTAGAGGTGCAAGGAAGAGCGTATGAAAGGAAGAGTATGGCCTGTGTATAATTTGTAAGCTACAGGAACAGTCAGCATCTTCTTCTTCTTCGTGTTCACCAGCTGAAAACTCTTGCGGAAAGTTCTGGTTGTCCATCCACTTTTGGACTGCAGTCCTGTTGCAGAACCTGACTGTTGCGTGTGCAGCCTTTTTACAGATTTGACTCATCTGTATGCCAACTGCTAGTTCCTTGCCTCTCAGGCAGATGCATTCCGACTTTGAAGTAAGCTCCCAATTAGTGGACTCTTACGACATGCTTTTAGGTAAGCAGTGGGTCTATTCTTGTTTTCCCTGTAATAGGACCCCGGAACCCACACGAGGAAGTCAGCATCTATATCAGTTGTCTCCAGCCAGGGAAGCACAAGAGGGGTTCAAGCAGGAGAGAGGGAGAACAAATTTTAAAAGTGAGTGCATTTGTACTTGTAAAAATCCCTTATACCAGTGATTACCAAACTGTGCACCACACAGCCGCGACCTCTTTCCAGGGGCCTCGAGAAATATTCCAATATACAAGAGTTTAATCTTTTAAATACGAAGTCATATTTTCACTAAGGTAGGGTGCTGTAGAAAGATTTTAATTGAAAAAAGGCGCCACGACTAAGAAAAGTTTTGTGGAAAACACTCTTCTACTAACATGTTGTTTCAGTTTTATAATAGTCAGCCATCTAGGTTAGCCCCAATCCAATCTCGTGAGCGGCGTGGGGGATACACTTAGCGGTAGTGGTAAAGTCCCCAAAAGTTTGCAACTGACACATGACTGAGGTCGTGTTAAGGCCTTTATCGGGCCTCGATAATATGGGACCTTTTTTCGGAGGATAGCCTATTTTTTTTCCAGTTAATAAAACAAAATGACAATGACTTTTGTTTTCATATGATAACATGCGCATTTAATTATAGATTAAGAACACATTCTGACTAAAACGTATCTCCATACATACTTGTGGAATCTATTGACCTCTTTAATCACACTGTGTTGTTTGAGTGTGTGTCAAGGGGGGAGGGTGTGGGGGTCCTGTCATATATTCAAGGGGGTGGGGGTGCGGGTCTTGTCATATACTCAGGGGGGAGGGAGCGGGTCTTGTATTCTCAAGGGGGGCTTCAGCTGAAAAAGGTTGGAGATCACTGATCTACACCTTAGGACATCTACCTTGGGAGATTAAAGCATCTGTAGGTGTCTTATGTGATACGGTGTGGATTTTTCAATCAGTTAATAGTTATCTTGTCATTAATCATTGTCAACAGAATCAGAAACGGGATATCCTCCGAATAACGGTCCTAAATTACCGAGGCCGAAAATATACCTAACAGGGCCTCAGTCACATGTCAATTGCACACTTCGGGGAATTAAAGCGCCACCCCCGAGAGTATCCCCACGTCACTCACGTTTCGTAGATTGGGGCTAAGCTAAACTAAATGGCTAGGACTCACAGGCAAATAAAATAAAAAGGAAGCTGCAGGAGATGCGGTAGCTGCTGTTCGTAAGTCCCAGCCATCTAGTTTAGCCCCAATCCAGGCCACGTAAGCGGCGTTTGGGATACTCTCGGTCGTAATTTAAGACGACGGAAGTGCACAATTAAAATGTGACTGAGGCCCTGTTAGGGTATATTTTCTGCCTCAATAATTTAGGACCGTTATTCTGAGGATAGCTCAGAAACGAACGAAAACCAAAAGACATGGATAAATAAATGGAACAGTAAATTAAAGGAGGACTGTGAAAAAAAAAAGGGATTTATGGACCTTCAGTCTCTGTTATTTGGACTATACTGAACACAGCTCTTACTCCACCTTCTTACTATATTTTGCTTTGCTGGGCTAAAGACTGAACTAAAGGATCCCAAAAACAATTACAATTGTTAATGTTATTGTCATTCATTGCAGTCATTTTGGGTTGGTGGGTCTAAACACAATAAATTTATACTTCCCCTTCTTCGTGTCCCATAAAAAAAAAATTAAAGGATGGGTGGTCGTGTAAATGTGTCGTGGATTTTTTCTATTTAGGTCTGTAAAATCAAAATTTCTTTGGCGAACACACCACCATAAAATATAACAGTTAAAAGACCTAATGCGTACGACTGCATGTCCAGTTTGAGTTTGTTTTGTGTTTTTTTTTTTTTTTTCCCCGCTCATAACTTTTCAGAGAGCGATAGACGGAGAAGGAGGTGGAAAGAGAGATAGAGAGAGCGAGAGAGAGAGAGAGAGAGAGAGAGAGAGAGAGAGAGAGAGAGAGAGAGACTGAAACCCCACACGATGAGCACGAACCAAACTCGTGTCACCAACCACCCCCAAAGTTCTATCCGTGCGTCAGCCACATGTGGTTGTTTTACTTTTACCCCCAACCTCAATTGACGACTCACACCACCACCATCCCTGAAAAAAACTACGGGTCGCTACATCAAAAACAATTCGTGACAGACAAGAGTTTAGGCAGCGGACATTAGCCGGGAACTCACCTCGGACTGGGTACGGAGATCATTGTCGCTGCTGATAAGTCCCTGGAGAAGAGCCTGAAACTCCTGGCCGCCCGCCATCTTAAAGAGATAATGACATGCACCACGACCTTCGACACGGAACCGGAAACTGGTCGATGAGCAGGATTTGTTGAGTTGGATAAGTCTAGCAGTTTCAGAAATAATTTATCATCATCATCATCCTCCTGTTTTTATGTATTGTTACAATGGACCCTCAGTCTGCCTGCCCCTCATTCCCTCTATATCTATATCCTGGGCAGATCTTTTTTTCTTCTTCTTTGTTCACTGGTTGTAAGCTCCGGTGGAAAGTCCTGGTTGTCCGTCCATTTGGACTTTGTCTTTGTGCCAGGACCTGAGTTTTGAGTGTACACCCGTTTTACTGGCTTACATGTGTGCAGTTGGTTGTTCGTTGCCGCTCGGACAGATGGCATGCTTGCTGGGAAGGCAGTGGGGTCTAATATTGTCCTCCCCCCCCCCAACAATGGGGCACTGGAACCCACACGGAGAGGCGACCGTTGCATTTTTGCTCCATTTGTAGACTGGAAGGGTATAGTTCCGTCGCCCAGCTTCTGAGTTGAGTGCATGGCGTGACACTGTGAGCTACGTGTATTTTTCATCGGCACAGGAGCGGAGCAACTATGGGGTGACCCAATTGCTATGAAGCTGAAACTATGATTACCAGATTACACGGAGAGGGCAGATCTTTTGATATCATAATCAAAATCCAATCCAGCGTGTTTAGCCAACATTCGTCTTTGGATTTCCCTTGGGTGTACTCGTTTCCTCGACCTGATTACTGAGTTAAGAATCCACATCATAGCACACCGGGCATACCCATAGATACTCCGTCTCCCGCATCAAATGTCTAAAGCTTTAGACGCTAACTGTTCCCATAGCACACTGATTATCCACACGTCGTTCTCTTCCGCTCATACATCCCTCCTTGTCGGATCCACTCCTAACTTCTCGTTCACACATTCTTACACGTGTTATTTCATCTAAATTCGTGTCTTCTGTTGACATTCGTTCATGTATGATGTTGTTCGTTCATCACAAGTGATGATGACCAGACGTTTCATCCAATGGTGACTGGATTAGGTTTGGCGAGTGCACAGAAGATTGATAAAGCCAATTCTAGCACTGAACGTTCTTGAGCAACGTGGGCAGCGAATAGATGCCGCATCTCTCTGTTGATTTGCTTCAGTGTTTTTCGTGGCTTGTCTTTTCTGAATTGCTGCTATGGTTCTAGGAGCTTCATGGGCGACAGCCCCTCGATGAAGAGAGGAGCGCCCGGAGCAGCGATCACATGCCGCGACTTCCCAGGTTTTATGATCAATACAGAAGTCTTTCAGTGAGGTCTTGACACTGTCCTTAAAATTTTTCTTCTGTCCACATTGAAAGTTCATATATGGTCTTCTTAGCATCTCCAGTACGAGTGTTCTCGTAGCTATCGCTAACGTAGCGTGAAAATGCGCTCTTTAATTCTCTCGTGCTCCTGCATTCCTCGGACATCATATCCATTTGATTGCCTGCAATGTTGGCGTGCTGATACCTAGTATCTACTCATGCCACATTAGTCCATATTTGAACTTTCGCAGTACCGACTGAGAATCAGATACACAAATTCCTTTGTTACTTTTGTTTTCTGCTATCCAATTCAGAGCTGCAGTTATTGCCTCCACCTCCATCATCATGCTCAAAGTTGTAGATTTTAAAAAAAGTTATATTTTATTCTGCCACAATTTTTCCCTTCATGCCAGGCAAAAATCCCCAGCTAGATGTTATATCCCGATGAACTTAAACCATCGGTGTACACTACTATATCATTTAACCCAACCTTTTCGTTTATTAGTTGTTGTACCTCTAATTCTGCCAAACCGTTACACCACTCTACATTCTCTTCCTAATGTGATAATGACCTGATGGAAACTGCTGTTGTGGGTGTTCGTGTCGATCCATTCTTGCTTCCCTGTGTATATACTCGACTGAGGCCGCCGTCTCGATGTTACGTTAAGCTAGTGCCATCCATGACTTTCCTCTTTTCAACCGGTCTCCTCTTGTATCTTTCAGATGACCATGCAGCGGATGCCTTTCGTCTTTGGTAGCTTGCACATAGACCTTGGCTTGCACCAGAGACGGTCTCAACTTAATCGATGTCAGCCCAAGCATATACCTCATTGCTCTAATTGGGGTATCTCTGGTGTAACCCAAGCCCGTTTTCATTCCCTCATTGTGAATCCGTTTCAAGCTTTGTACACTGTGAACTGGATAGGGGTAAAAACCCTAGGACATAATCAATCGCTGAAAGGACCAAATGGTTGAACAATAAGACCAATCATCTTTGTTCAATGTGTGTCGCCACCATCGTCTTCAATAGCGCCAGGCCACGCTTGCATTTGATCACAATCTGCTCCACGTGATATCTGGAGGGCAGACTGCGATCAAACGTCAAACCTAACTATTTCAACTTATCTCTTCTTTCAACATTTAAACCCTCTATGTATATGCTGGGCATGTTTTCCTTTCCAACCGCAAAACACTGGCCTTCTCTGGGTTTACCCTTGACCATCTCTGTTCACACCACTCGGTCATCTCATTCAAAGCACTTTGCAAGTCTCTGGTCATGTCGTACCTGATTGACCCGCTTCGATACATTAGAACATTTTCTGCAAATGTCAAAGATTGCACAGGTCCAGTGGGCTGAATTTTTGCCACTTACTGTATATATATATATATGTTGAACAAGACATTTGACAATGGTGATCCTCGAGGAAGGCAAGTGCAACCGCATACTGGGTCCGATCTCCATGTTCCCAAACAAAATAACTATGTTCTTTTTAACAGTGTTGCCTCCATCCAGTTAGCCAGCGAAAGAATCACACCACAATCCCTCACGCACTGCATAAGATAGGTGAAGCTGACGCCGTCATAAGCATCTTCAAGATCTATCGCAAAAACGACTGTTTCTGGCTTTCGCTGAAATCCTTCAAACACATCATATGCGAACGTTCCAGCATTGTCCCGCGTTGCCTTTGATGACCTATATATGCCCATGGTGTCCGGTAGCATGCCCATTCTTTCTAAGTGTGACATCACTTTCTTCGCAACAATTTTCCCCAGCAGTTTGTTTGTCATTCACATTTTGCAAGGTAAGTAAAGTAAAGATCCATTTTCCCGCCTTTCGGCGCATTGGGCACATTGGAAGAGCACCCATATTTTTACAGACCAATTGGCACTCGGTGGGTAATGTGGTCAGCATTACGCCGGCCGTCTTTACTTCCACAGGACAGCCATCCTGGTACCCATTTGAGGCTGGGTCGACCTACGACGTCCCATACCACGATAAAAATCCACGCAGCCCGCAGTGGGTTTCGATCACGGTACGTTGGATTACTAGTCGGACTCGAAACGCCTAAGCCACGGACGCCCCATTTTGCAAGGTAATGGTTCTATAACTGCTGAGCTATGAGGGATCCCTGCCTGATTTTGAACATGGTTTGAGATAACTATGTAACCGGTCATCTGGTACAGTTGTAAGCCAATGTTGGTCCTTAGATCTGCAATTAGTTTGTCTTTTTTTTTTCTATCAAGCAAAAAACACGACAAACTAATTGCAGATCTAAGGACCAACATTGGCATACTCTCCAAGGAAGCAGAACTGGTCTTGCAGTGGATACCAGCCCGCTGTGGTATTCAAGGAAATGAAAGAGCAGATGAGTTGGCAAAAGCTGGGAGTAATCTTCCACAACCTCATCCACCACACAGCTACATGGAAACCAAAACAGCGCTAACGCAGTCTTTCAATCGGGAGTGGAGAAAGCATAATAGAGATTACAGACCAGAGAGTGACAGCATAAACAAACTCAACAGGAAAGAACAAACATCAATTTTTAGACTTCGGACTGGACACTGTGGTCTTCGAGCACACATGTACAGGATAGGCATACAAGAATCTGCTGCCTGTGATTGTGGAGCAGAAAGACAGACCCCTGAGCACATACTGCAGTACTGCCCTTACCTCTCCCAGCAAAGACTGTGGATCTGGCTCAAGGAAGCCACATTGCGAGAGAAGCTTTGGGGGACCGGTGGCGACCTTAAACGCACAATCCTATTTTTGACCCAGACGGGACTCACTGTGTAGCATGACTGATGTCGAACGCAGATGAAGAAGAAGTAGAAGACATTTGGAAGCTATTATTAAAATCTCTCAAAACTCGTAGTATTTGGTCACTACTTAACTGTTTGATGTGACCATAGCGTACACCGTCTGTCCCTGGAGCCAATTTTCAGCTTCATACAGAGGGTGCTCTTTGTCTGCAGCTACTCTGAGGTATGACTTAGCCAGCAGCACCTTTAGCCTATCTGCAATAGTCGGCAATGCAAGGATGTATCGCATGCACGCAATCAGGGTGTCTCTTGTACATTCCAGGATCACCCGCATAGCTTCATTCTGTATGTGCTCCAGTTTCTCTAGCTGACTCTTCAAGACAAGCATCTCATAAGAGTTGACCAACTGGGGACTTCCTTAGAAGTTGGAGTGTATCTGCCTGATGGGCAAGGAACCAACAATCTGCATACAGTTAAGTCAGATCTTTTAAATGGATGCGCATGCAACACATAGGTTTAGAACAAAACTAAAGTCCAGAAATGGACAAACAACCAGAACTTTCTGCCAAAGTTTACAGCCAGTGAACGCGAAGAAAAAGAAGAAGAAGAAGAAGAGAAGAAGAAGAAGAAGAAGAAGAAGAAGAAAAGAAAAGAAGTACCACAAAATGAAAGCACACTGATCAGCTTATGCTGTTTGCAATTTTTATTTATAAATTTCACAACTCTCAACATTATTATTATAATAAATGTGTGTAGCAACATGTGACAATGTCATGCGGAAAATTCATGCTTTCAAAAGCAACAAAGCAATACAGCTCAACATGTCTCAACATCAGTCAGCTTAACTCAACATGAGTCAACTCAACATGAGTCAACTCAACATGTGTCAATTCAACATGTGTCAACTCACTCAACATGTGTCAACCCAACATATGTCAACTCACTCAACATGT